CGCCTATATGCATATCGACACCAGGTGAGTTGAATATCAATCACTTGATCAATATCGATCATGACTTGGCGGGTTGATGATTGCATGCATTGTGCAAGTTGGTTGTTTAATCGATGTGATACTTTGAACTGATCATCAATGTAACCATACTCACAAGCATTGTAAACTCTAAACTACACAATCAATATTGGACATGACACGACCAACAAGCAATGATGCTTGTAAAATACGTTGGCCATACAATACCTGAATGACTGACATCCCATTGTCATAATTGATCCTGTGCTTGACAGCCTGATTTACCTGTTGTTTGTACAACATTACACAATCAACCATATTTGAGTGCATAGCCTGCAGTTCAACACTACACACCATCATATAAAGGGATCCTCCCTTTCGATATTTTGGTTTGGTAACAATAAACCAGCATCAACCCTAACAATAACACAAGTTCCTTAGGGCGGCACTTGATGAACATGCCCTTAATACTATCCGTTCAATAATGAATATAAATATGGTTCAAAAACCGACTTGTCAGACAACAATCATCCACAACTTGCTTAGAATCAAACCAGTAGAATGAAATTACCAATCGCTGTATTGACATCAATCCTGTTTGCTTGCTCTTTTACTACAGCCAATCCAATTCATCCCAGCTCAACTACAAGCGCTGAATCTAGGACTTTGACAGCTGCGAATGCACAAGTTACAAGCTTAGTCGACTTTAGTAAACTTTCAAGGAGTGCTAAGAATTCAATCAAAAAATACGCAAAAATAAAACAAGATTATGAAAAGACAGAGAAGATGTATGGATTGGCAAAAGTTACAGAAGCTGATCATGAAAAATTGGTATCCGAGCTGACTGAAAAATATCTGCTTTTGAAGCAAAAATCTCAAGCAATGAATGACAATTCAAGGTACGAGAATAAACTCAACAAAGCCAAACTCGAACTTGAAGCTCAAAACAAAATTCTTCTCGAGCTTGAAGAAAAATGTACGAGTCTCAGCTGCAAGCTTTTGGATTTATTCTTAAAATTGTCTGCCAGTGAAAAAAAGCTTAAAAAACACCTGCTCGAAAATGATCCGAATTCTATATTAGTTGATTTTTACACAAAACTTTTGGGATTAGACTCCACTTCTATAAAACTCATTCTTAAACCTAAAAGCCTCATACCAAATCAATTTTTAAGACCCAAAAAATATTCTGCTGGTATGTCTTTGAATCCATCACAACAAAGTCCTCAAGATCCCGAAAATTCGTCTCCATCGCATCACAAAACATCCAAGAATCCTGAACATTCTGACAAGGCCCCGGAAGGTTCTAATCTTGCGCACTCGTCATCAAAGGAAACATCTGTAGCCTCTTCTACTCGACCATTTTTGGATTTACGAAAAGCTTCTTTCAAACTTAAAAGTAAGACTAGATCACTTTTGGGTCAGTCTCAAGATGAAGATCACGAACCATTGATTTGATTGCTAATATGGACTGGTTTCAACCGAATTCGTTGTGTTTTTTCTCGAATAAAACACAATTGTCATTTGATATTGGATATTTGGGATTGTATCTGATTATTGTACACAATATTGGTTGAAATGGTATCATATTATAGTATGCATTGACACTTTTGACTCGTTGATTGTGGTATCAAAATGGTTGCATCAATAGACTGACTGATCACACACATCAGTCGCAGTATCAACTTTGTCATGTATCAAGTATCACATGTTGAATATACAATACCAACAATATAATCATTATACACATGTTGATAAATGTGTTTGCATGACAATGATACGTATGAATAACTGAACCACCATGTAAAAGTCATGATACTTGCAGCAGTATATCATATTCCAGCTGTTGATATCGCGTATCCAGTTTCAATATCTCGAGTATATTTGATATGGCCTGATCAATGTTAAACCAATAACTTCAGACATTTTCATGACACTAATCAGTATTCACTTGCAAACATCTCGTTCAAACTTTGAATTCATTACAAGTGAGATCACGATATAATTAAATTGATGATATTTGGTTATACTTGAACAAATTACTACTAAAACATTGTACACTCGACTCTTATGTAAACCAATGTTAATCCTACATTAATTTCAAGCAGTTGATAAGATTAGACACATCAAGTCGTATCAGATTCCAACATCCGACTTTTTCAGTATCATGAATTCGACTATAAATTTCATGTGCAGCCTTTCAAGCATTTGAAAAATTCTACTTTCCTTTGTAGATCCAACCGATCAATAACTAGTCGACTATTAATAGGTAGAATTTACTAGGTAAATGATGACTGCAAGTTCTACTGCGACTGCTCGTACTTCTAGGGAACTCCCTGCCAAGGAATCTGCTATTTTCAAGACTGTTCTTGTATGTATTTCATGCCTTGGTCGAGTGCTATGGAATAGCTGGTTTACTTTACGCTATACTTGGTCTTGCTCTGTTGCCATGATAGACTATTAGCAATGCTTATACTAATCCATATGTTGCATTGCTCATTTTTGGTTAGAAATTCTATGAGAATCGACAGTATAAAAAGGGACTCAAGGCAGCAGAGACCATTCTCAAAAAGTATCCAAACCATGGAGGTAATTTGTATTAGTTACGCCCACTTTATCTACTGAAACTGTATCAATGTCATGTATTTTTACTACTGTGTGTCTTGAGTGGGATGACTATTGTACACTCCGCCAACTTTTTCTAAAAAACGCCAGTCTAATGCCAATACCTATTTGAACCTATTATTATTAGAAACTCTCGCCATGAAGGGTTTGTTTTGCAGTAATTTGAACCGCAAAGATGAAGCTCACAGCTTCATCAAAAAGGGGATTGTCAGCGACATGACCTCTCACGTTTGTATGTCGGCTTATACTCATGCCACGACGTTCCATATGCACTACCCAATTAACCCTGATCTATTATTTTTAGGCTGGCATGTATATGGTTTGTTCCATCGAGCTGAACGCAATTATGAAGAAGCGCTTAAATGCTACACGCATGCCTTGAGATTTGACAAGGTTGGAATATACATGCCATCTAATACCAACTGTATAATGGATGACATGTATATAACACTGTTTATGCCAATCGATTGCTTCTACTCTGTATAGGAAAACCAACAAATTATGCGTGATTATTCTCTGCTTCAAATCCAGATGCGCAACTACGAATCTTTCAATGCAAGTAACGAGTATGCCGTCTTTTGAGCGATTTAAATATTTGAATATGTTTATTGATGCTTTTATCAACATCTTACCATGTGTTACAGGATATTCGCCATAAAATGTTGAATTTAAGACCAAATCAACGAGTCAACTGGATCACTCTTGCAGTCTCATATCACTTGCTTAAAAATTACGAGATGGCTGAAAAAATTATGTCTTCGTATGAAGAAAGCATGAATGTAGGATCATATACTTTGACCTTTTTATATCTTTGGTGTGCTTATTCATTTTAAATATATAGGAGGAGGCTCCCGGACCTCTGACCGAGTATGAAAACTCTGAAATGATGTTGTATCATAATTTGATTATTGAAGAAAGTGGCGATTATTCTCGCGCCTTGGCTCATCTTGATACTTTGCGAGGAAAGGTGATGGCTGTGCGTGAATGGCGTGAAGCAAAAGGTATGCTCAAACGAGACTTGGAGTATTGCTTTCAAGCATCACTAACACACTTTTTTAGCACGTATCTTGCTGAAAAACAAAATGTCTGCAGAAGCTCAAGTGGAATATACTCGTCTTATTAACGAAAACCCAGACTCGATTGCTTATCTTGAGGGGTATCGTACGGCTCGAGGACTTGGTGGTCATTTTACTGATCGTGCATCTATTGATCGTGTCCTACGTATGTACCGAGAACTTGGCGAAAAGTATCCTCGTTCTCATGCCATTCAGCGTCTTCCTCTCAACTTTGTTTCTGGCGACGAATTCAAAACCATGATAACCTCTTACTTGGTTCCCCTGTTTCGCAAGGGTGTTCCTTCTCTTTTTGTCTCGCTTAAAGATTTGATGGCCGATCCCGAAAAAGAAGAGATTATTGCAGAGGTTGTAGAAAAGTATTATGGCTCACTTAAAGCTAATTGTACATTTTCATCCGGCGATACTGGTGGGTTTATTTTGTATAATTTGATATCAGCACTGCTACTTTTTATTCAAATCTTGCACTTTATTTTTGTATCTGCTTAGAAAAGGAATCTCCAACAGCGTTTCTTTGGGTGGTATATTTTTTGGCACAATTCCAGGATCGTAAAAGAAATATAATGCGCGCATTAGAGTTTATTGATGAAGCAATTGCACATTCTCCAACTGTTGTTGAGCTATACATGACCAAGGCTAGAATTTTCAAGGTAACGTCTTTTCCCTTTACCCGTGTATGAATCTTACTCACCTTACATTTTCCATGCATTAATTTGGCTTCATCAACAATGTGCTTTTAGCATGCAGGTGATCCTGCTCAAGCCATGATGTTTATGAACCAAGCACGTTTTTTAGACCTTCAAGATCGTTGCATCAATTCCAAGTGCACAAAGTACATGCTTGCCAACAACGCTCTCAAGGAGGCCGAGGAAACAATTAGTCTTTTTACTCGCGCTGAATCGGTAGATCCTATTCATGATCTTATTGATATGCAATGCATATGGTATGCTCAGGCCAGTGGTGAGGCCAATCTGCGTATCGGTGCCTATGGCCGAGCATTGAAAAATTTTCACCAGATTGAAAAGCATTTTGTCGAAATCTATGACGATCAGTTTGATTTTCATGGATATGCATTGAGAAAAACCACTGTCAGAGCGTATCTTGACTTGCTAAGAGTAGAAGATCGTATCCGGTCTCATCCGTACTTTTCCAAAGCAGCCAAGAGTGCTATACGTGCTTATATTGAGCTGTTTGATGGTCCCGCACCCATCACCATGACCAGAGATGGTGTTGATTTGTCTAATATGAACGAATCTGAGCGCAAAAAGGCACTTCGCAAAGCTCGTAAAGCCGAACTTAAAAGCCAAGCAGACCAAAACACTTCTGTGACTACAGCCAGGACAAATACAACTCACTCGAAAGACAATGCCAATGGCAACGCTAACAATAAGAAAAAGTTGCCTGTAGATCCTGATCCTGAAGGCAAAAAACTAACTGACGACGTAGATTTTATGGCAGAAGCTACCAAGTTTTTAAAGCCACTGCATGAACTGTTGCCTTTTGATATGGATGGATGGAATTTGGGCTTTCAGGTCTACATGCGCAAAGGTAAGTACAGTTTATTATAGCAAGTGTATGGTCGATACTAACTCAGTTTTACATTGATACCAGAAAAATACCTGCGTGCCCTTGCATGTCTTGTTCACGCACACAAGATCGATGCCTCTCACCCCAATGTTCACCGCAACATTATAATGCTTCAACGCGAGGTCATTGCAGAAACTGCTCGTTCAGAAGACAAGAAAATGGATACACGTGTTTTAACTGTCATCAATCAGAGTCTTTCTACATTGTTCGAGTCTGTCGAATGCAAAGACATTCCAGCCACTTTAGCCAAACTTGAGCTATTTAACAAATCCTTTTTGGAATCGCACTCCAACTCTGTGCCGCATAGACTTGCTGCTGCAGAGTGTGTTGTTTTACTTAAAAATGACGCTACTTCTGAAGCTGCGACTATTTTGAAAGGTGTTGGATCTCAATATATAGATGGGTTTACTCTCGAGGTATGGTTTGGATCTGGAAATACTGTGTAAATGACCATTTCAGTTGTATTAATTTGTAAATGGAATTTAGGTTGCGGTAAATGTTGCCAACACACTAAAATCTGTCATGAAGGACATGGATGCTTTGGCTGCATTCAAAAAGATTGCTTTGAAGACTTTTCCTTTGGCCGTTTGTCTGAAATGAATTCACCACAGCTGTATTGACGTAAAATGTAGCACTTTTTGTACTTATTTTGCATTGACTGTTTTTACTTTGAAATAGACGATAGTTGAGCATGTATTCGCTTTTTATTAAAAGTCGACTATTTTAAACATTCATCCTACGACACACATAATCAGACTATAGCTTTAAACTGAGATTGTTCAAATTTGAACCCACATTCATGTATTGTGTTTGTCAATATTGTCAATACAACTCTGCACATACATTTGTTGTATTCTGAATCACGGATACGATCGCAGTCTAGTTCAACAACAATCATGACACATGTCAGTAATGCAACTGTTGTTTGCATATGCATGACACTGTTATTTAGTGATCCATTTACATCAATATGGTTGCAAGTTGTCGTTATATCACGTATTCTGGACATGGTTTTGATATTACGCATCCAGTTCCATCACATTGTTGCTGACCCATGATTGTAACGACGTATGTATCAAACACTGGCATGTTACCATAACCACAATCAGTAAAATGACACTCGAGTTGTTTACTGTTTTCACCATTTAATCCGATTTGTATTTTTGGCTAAATTTAAAATAAAATTTGGCCAATATTCAAAATACAGTCCCAAAATTACGTTTACTCAACCCAAACCTTTTCTTGCTACCAAATAACCCATTTTAGTTGCCAGACTGGTGTTTATTGGCAAGATATAACATTCACGCTTGTATAACCATCATTCGAGTTTGAAAAGCACTTTATATAATCTACATTCAAAGGAGAGCGATACTAGGAGGAAGCTCTCATCATGTTTCGCAATACCTTTCAGGTACAGCCTATTTGCCTCACCAAGACATCTCTTTATACCACCATCTAGTGCTATATGTTTGCTTGTCTGTTTTATGGCTTGGCGCGATAGTGTTTGTATTCTAAATCATTCCACATCTTTTTAAATATATATACCACACTGTTAGTCCGGATTTCTGTCGATATTGTACAGTATTGGGTAAGTCCTTTTTGCAGTGTCTAGCTACTCCTTTTGAATGTATATGCACTTGCTATAATCATGTCTAAATCGAGAACTTTTGGGGAAAACACGTTCTGTAGCATATATTTAAAGCAATATCTTTCAAACTAAACTACTTTATAAATTCTGACCCCTTTCTAATACATTCTGAATCCACATGGTTTGATTTATTTAGCTCAAAGCCTTTGCAAATCTGGGACAAAAAGGTTCGAAATGGTCACATCAAGCGAATAACTGATAATGATATTCAATCGTCTGTTCTTGAAATCATTGGTACAAATGTTTCGACAAACTACATTACTTGTCCAGCTCAACAAAATCGTACCCTGGGAATCAAACTTCCTTTTCTTGTTATGATTATTAAAAACTTGAAAAAGTATTTTACATTTGAAGTTCAAGTTTTGGATGACAAAAACGTTCGAAGACGATTCAGAGCCTCAAACTATCAGGTAAAAAGTGTATACTATGCAATGTGTTTTGAAAACAATAGAATGACATGCCAGGTCGGATCTATTCTAAATCATATTTCGACATTATAGTCCACGACACGCGTCAAACCATTTATATGCACTATGCCAATGCGACTTGATGATGGATGGAATCAAATTCAATTTAATCTAAGCGATTTTACTCGTCGTGCTTATGGTACAAACTATATAGAAACGCTGCGTGTGCAGATTCATGCCAATTGCCGCATTCGCCGCATTTACTTTTCCGATAGGCTGTATTCGGAGGAAGAGCTACCACCAGAGTTTAAACTCTTTTTGCCAATTCAAAAACAAAACTAGACAGCCATGACCAAATGCTTGGTGTTTGCTTATTTGGATTTATTGTTTTCAAAATGTCGGCAACTTTTTGATGAATAAATTATCAAGTATCTTGTTTGTGGTTGCTGGGTTTCAAGTTACTTTAGTTGAAATACAAACATGTCATGCAAAATTGATCTAGTTTATTTTTAAAGCCTATTCAAGCAAGCATGTCACGCTTCTTGACTGCCTTGCTAATAAACTCTGCCAAACTAGCATCACGGTGTGCAATAATGGAGGTAGCACGACCACTGCGGCCATTTCGTGCAGTTCGACCCACACGATGCAAATAGTCGATAGCAGTCTGTGGAAAATCGTACAAAATCACATGTCCTACTGGTGTGGTGTCCAATCCTCTTGACGCAATATCTGTTGCAACCATAATCATAGGTTTACCAAGTGGAGGCTTCGACAACCCTTCAACCTGCATCTCCACAACTGATGGTGACACGACATGTTTTTCATCTTCATTGCCATACATGGCTTCCAGCTTTTCAAAAGGTTCCTTTATCAACTCTGGATTAAGAAACTGTTCCAATGATTTTGTGCGGTTTTTTATCTCGGCAGAACTTGTCAATGTCACAACATCATAGGATTTGGATCTCAAGTGGTCAGACACAGTATTGCAAGTGCTACGACGGTTGCAAAATATAATGATTCGATCCGTTTCCAATACAGCACGGCGAAGAACTTCCAAAAGCATGTTTGGTTTTGTAGTGGAACTGTCTAGACGTAAAAAACTTTGATGTAGCTTGGCTTGGGTACGATGAAGATTTGGAGTAAAAACTCGTCGAAGCTCTGGAAATTCATCCAGTACTGCTAGATTGAGAGTCTTTGGTAGCGTGGCAGTGGTGAACAAAAATCTACATGTGCGACCTTGATTTTTGGAAAATGTCTTGACAGATTGAATGATGGGTTTCAAATCATCTTGAAAATTTGTGTCGAATAGTGTATCGGCCTCATCGACAACAATCAGACTGGTTTGTGTAAGAACAATGTCTTTGGATTCTGTAAAACTGGTCAGCATGCCAGGTGTGCATATCAAAATATCAATGGGTGCTGAAGACAAGGCAAACTCTCTAGCCTTGTAGTCTGAACGAGAGTGCATGCCAACAACGCGCAGTTTAGCCTTGTGGGAAAGAATCTTTGCGGTCGCAGTGACTTGAGCAACAAGATCTCGAGAGGGTACAATAATAATAGCTCGTGGACGACGTATTTTACGAATCAAAGCAAGTCCGGCAACAGATGTGATGGAATCACCGTCCGTTGTAATAGCTTCAACCGCTCTAAATGCATCATTGTTAATTTTGGCATTGATATCAGATTTGGGCAAGGACGAGGCGAATTTAAAAGGCACAGCCAATTTGAGTGTACCGGCAATTGCCTTGTCTTCCTCGACTTTAAGAACATGCATCACACTGGCAAGATATGCGGCAGTTTTTCCTGTTCCAGTTTCAGCTGCACATAATATAGCCTCATCTGTACTGTGGATGAACCTAGGAATGCACATTGCTTGCACAGGAGTGGGGGCTTTAAATTTGAGTCCTTGGGTAATAGACTCGAGCACTTTGGGATGCAGATTCATTCCCTCGAAAGTTGCCGTATCAATCATGTCCTGAATAGTCCGACTACTTTTTCCCTGTCCAAGGTTGTCAATAAGCTCGAATTTTTTAGCGTGCTCGGCACGACGTTCCAGTGTTTGTTTTTTTATAAGTTGCTGATTCATGACAGCTGGAGCATTTGGACCAAGAGCTCTATCGAATAAAGCAGCGGCAGCTCTGGCCTTTGCACCAAGTGGTTTTGGCGTCTTTTGTATCACTGTTGTACTGGGGCGTTGGAGTGGAGTAGATTTTGTGGATGCTCGACCAGATCCAAATCTAGGTAAAGTGTTGGACTTTTTGCGACCAAATCTAGCAACTGGGTCACTGCCTGCTGATTGAGGAGTGGCATTCACTATATTGCCATACTCATCGTACTGATCACGTTTACTTCTGCCCAGAAATGAACGAGAAGCCTTGGCTATTGTGCTTTTATTAGAGACTTGATCCTCGTTACTATGCTTAAACTGAGCACCAACCCGAGACTGAGATTTGCGCTTTGAGCCATTGTAAAGATCAGTATCGTATTTACCGCCAAAATGAGATTTTGAAGATGATTTAGATTTGGATGCAGTGTTTGAAAAGGTAGACTTGAGTTGGTCCAACCTAAGACGAGCAGGAAGACGAATGTTGCGATCAAGACCAGCGCCGCTTCGTTTGGGAGTTTTCCCCTTGGATTGATGTTTTCCTTTACCACCATAAACTGGAGGTTTGTGTTGACGAGGGTATTTTGTAGAAAAAGTAAAGCTAGAAGCAGACCGAGTAGGTTTGATGGACATATGCAAACGACTATTGGCATGAAACGATCTGAATGCAATATATTTATAGGGTGGATTATGGCGGAAAAATGATCCGGAGCGAACAGATAGCTTAATATAAAAAGATTGAGAGCAAATCCTAAACATTTTAGAGTCTATATCCGAGTTTTATATATGCAGTTCGTGACGAGGCTCAGTAATCGCAGAAAAACAATTACAAAACTTGACTGAAATAAAAAGTTGTAAAATAAAAACACGACAACTGATCGTTGTCGATCCAAACGGGAACGCGCTGAAACCATTCGGTATAACTTGATATTGATTAAAGCAGCTGCGCAGCTGCAATGGTTAGCTTACAACGGCCTGCTTGGAAACCACCCGCCCTTGAACCATTGAGAACAAAGTTGCTTATAAAGAGGTCATTGACATTTTAAATCTAGTTTCGCTTACATTCATCGTACAAGTGGATTTTTGGTTCTTCTATTACGTCACGCAAGAGTTTATCTTTCAGATTAAATCGAATCTATCGAATACTTTTATTATCATTGTATGGTAGAACTCATTCCAGAAAGCATTCCCGACTCCTCGTCATGGGCAGATGCTCTTCCACAACCGCAGGGGTTATATCTTCCAGATATGGAAAAAGATGCATGTGGTGTTGGGTTTATCTGCCACATTAAAGGCTCTGCTCACCACTCCATCATCAGCGATGCTCGTGGTATTTTATGTAGTATGGCTCATCGAGGTGCTGTGGGTGCCGATGCAAGAGATGGTGATGGTGCTGGACTCATGTGTTCTATTCCTCACTCGTTTTTCGCTCATCAGGTACGAGTCTTGTCAACTCCAGATAGCAGCGGATCTACTCAAGCAACCGCCAGCTATTCCCATCCTGCCCGGCTTCGGCATTTAGCCAGCACGGACTTTGACCACGAACACGATGATATTGGACCCATTCATGTCAACACCACTGGGACCATCGAGCTGCCTTCTCCTGGCCAGTATGCTGTTGGAAATGTCTTCTTCTCTCCTGATGATCGTACTTGCAGACAGGGTATTGCCCAGTTTGAGCAGATTGCTCGAGATCTTGGCCTGATCGTCCTGTGCTGGAGATCTGTTCCTAGAAACTCTCAGATTTTGGGTCCTGTTGCTCGATCAAAAGAGCCCACTATTCTACAGCCATTTGTAGTGCTTGCCGACGATCCGCTCTCTCCAAACACTTCGTTTCGCCAGCCCAAGATCTCTACTGTCGATTCCGCTCTGGATGATGACGCTCTTTTTGCACGCCAACTTTATCTTCTCAGAAAAAACGCTACGCATGCTATTTCCCAACGCAAATCATTCTATATCTGCTCCTTGTCTACAAAAAACATTGTCTACAAGGGTTTACTGGCTCCTTCTCAAGTATATCCATATTTCACTGATCTTGCTGACCCCTTGTTTGCCTCGTATTTTTGCTTGGTTCATTCAAGATTCTCCACCAACACGTTTCCCTCTTGGGATCGTGCTCAACCCATGCGTCTGTGTGCCCACAACGGTAATCGTATATATTCCCTGTATTCTTGTACAGATCTGTTGCTGATCTACTTTGTGCATGCATATTAGGTGAAATCAACACTCTCAGAGGAAATAAAAATTGGATGCGTGCTCGCGAGGGCATCATCAGATCTAAACGCTTTGGCTCTCAGCTTGAATCGCTCTACCCAATTGTTGAAGAAGGTGGCTCTGACTCGGCTGCATTTGATAATGTGTTGGAACTACTGGTCATGAATGGCGTACTGACCCTCCCTGAAGCCGTCATGGTATGTATAAATGTGTATTGATTTCAAATTAAAAGTTTATATCACTGAATTATATACTCTAGGTAATGATTCCAGAAGCTTGGCAAAATCAACCTGATATGCCTCCGGAAAAACGTGCGTTTTATCAATGGGCCGCATGTCTAATGGAACCTTGGGATGGTCCTGCACTTTTTACATTTAGCGATGGTCGTTATGTGGGTGCGTCGTTGGATCGCAATGGTCTTCGTCCGTGTAGATTCTACATCACCAACCAAGACATTATGATCTGCGCATCGGAAGTCGGCACAATTCCTGTCGATCCCGAAACGATTGTCAGCAAAGGTCGACTACAACCAGGAAAGATGCTTCTTGTAGATACTGTTGAAGGTCGAGTTGTAGAAGATACAGAGCTAAAAAATACCATAGGCAGTAAACGTGATTTTGCCAAGTGGGTGCGCGACTACACTATTAATATGGCAGACATCAGTCTATGGGCTAATCAAGGTGGAATCAAGCGTACCCATCGTTTAGATGAAACCACTGTAACACAGGATAAGCGCATGTTGGCTTTTAATTTCACACTTGAACAGTTGACAACAATAGTATCAATCATGGCAATAGACGGAAAAGAACCTCTTGGATCCATGGGAATCGATACACCTCTTGCATGTCTATCGCACAATCCCTGCACAATCTATCAATACTTTAGACAGCTTTTTGCTCAGGTTACAAATCCACCCATCGATCCCATCCGCGAGGATATTGTCATGTCTCTGTCATGCTATATTGGACCTCAGGGCAACATTTTAGAGTTGGATCCAACTCAGTGTCATCGTATCCGACTTTTATCGCCACTACTGTCAATTGAAAATATGGAAGAAATTAAAGGATTGCAGGCTTATAAACCCAACTGGCCCGTTACTATCATTGACATTACGTTTGAAAAGCAAGAGGGAGTTGCTGGCTACATGCGTGCTCTTGACCGTTTCTGTGCTCAAGTTTCTCTTGCTATTCAAGAAGGTGTTAAAATTGTGGTTTTGTCTGATACATTTGTTGCTGTGGATAGAGTCCCGGTTTCAGCTCTAATTGCTCTTGGTGCAGTACATCACCATCTCATTCGCAACAAACAGCGTTCCAAAATTGCTTTGGTGGTAGAAACAGGCGAGGCACGCGAAGTTCACCATTTCTGTGTGCTGCTGGGGTACGGCGCTGATGCGATTTGTCCCTATCTAGCACTCGAGTCTGTGCATAAACTCGCTCGTGATGGACTTCTTGCCATGAATGGAAAATCGCTTAATGGTATCACACCAGAAAAGTTGACATATAATTTTATTAAAGCGAGCAACGATGGCATCAAAAAAGTCATGAGCAAAATGGGAATTTCCACTTTGCAAAGCTATAAAGGAGCTCAGATTTTTGAAGCATTGGGTATTGATCGACCAGTGATTACCAAGTGCTTTTCAGGAACAGCATCACGTATCATGGGTGTTGGGTTCCGTATTCTTGCGCTAGATGCCTTGACATTTCATGATAAAGCATATCCACCTCGCGACACTGTATGCCTTGAATCTCTTCCAGAAACTGGCGAATATCATTGGCGTCAAGGTGGTGAATCACACATCAATGATCCGGTTTCGATTGCATCATTGCAAGACGCCGTTCGATCAGATTCGCAAACTGCATACGAGAAATTTGCTCAGCAGGCCCATAATCAAATTAAAAACTGTACACTTCGGGGACTTCTTGATTTCAATTTCGGTAAAGCCAAGCCAGTTCCAATTGAATTGGTTGAGCCTTGGACTAGTATTGTCAAGCGGTTTTGTACTGGAGCCATGTCCTATGGATCAATTTCTATGGAAGCTCATTCTGCTTTGGCCATTGCTATGAATCGGATGGGTGGAAAAAGCAACACGGGAGAAGGAGGCGAAGATCCCATTCGGTCAGTTCCACTCAAAAATGGCGACCTAATGCGCTCGGCAATTAAACAGGTTGCCTCGGGACGATTTGGTGTCACCAGTTACTACCTATCCGATTCAGACGAGTTACAGATTAAAATGGCTCAAGGGGCTAAACCTGGCGAAGGTGGTGAGCTTCCAGGATATAAAGTATCTCAAGGAATCGCTTCCACAAGAAAGTCTACCCCTGGTGTTGGATTGATTTCTCCACCGCCGCATCACGACATTTACTCGATTGAGGACTTGAAGCAGCTGATTTTTGATTTGGGAAATGCCAATCCAGTTGCACGGATTTCAGTTAAACTGGTGTCAGAAGTCGGCGTGGGTATCATTGCTTCAGGTGTAGCTAAAGCCAATGCAGAGCATATTTTGATCTCGGGTCATGATGGAGGTACAGGAGCAAGTCGACTCACTGGAATCAAATATGCTGGTTTGCCATGGGAGTTGGGATTGGCTGAAACACATCAAACATTGGTATTGAATGATCTTCGTGGTAGAGTAACGCTTCAAACAGATGGGCAAATCAAAACAGGTCGCGATGTTGTCATTGCTTGTATGCTTGGTGCTGAAGAATGGGGCTTTGCTACAACTCCACTTATTGCCATGGGCTGCACAATGATGCGCAAATGCCATCTCAACACCTGTCCAGTCGGTGTTGCCACTCAAGATCCAGATCTTCGCAAAAAATTCGTTGGCACGCCTGAACATGTTGTCAACTATTTCCATTTTGTAGCGGAGCATTGTCGTAGCATCATGGCTCAACTTGGGTTTCTTACCATTGATGAAATGGTTGGAAGAGCAGATATGTTGATAGTGAATGATAATCTTCGAAATCCAAAAACGGCAAACTTGGATTTATCTTCAGTGCTGACACCAGCTTTTGAGTTGCGACCTGGAGCTGCTACACATCGTGTGCATGACGCAGTGAAACCTCCGCAACCACCTTGTTTAGATTCAAGATTTATTGAGCAGGCTCAACCCGCACTAATCAAACGTCAACGTACAGTATTGACTGCAAATGTAATCAATACCGACCGTACAATTGGCACAACTTTATCATACCACGTTTCTCGTATATTCGGAGAAGTAGGACTTCCAGATGCTTCAATTCATATAAAACTGCAAGGTTCAGCTGGCCAATCTCTTGGTGCTTTTCTTGCTCCAGGAATTCTACTCGAGCTCGAAGGCGATGCTAATGACTATGTAGGAAAAGGTCTTTCTGGTGGACATATTATTGTCTATCCACCCAAACAATCCATTTTTTCACCTGAATCCAACATCATTGTGGGAAATGTGTGTTTATACGGTGCGACAAGTGGAAAAGCATTTTTCAGCGGTGTTGCCGCCGAAAGATTCGGTGTACGAAATTCGGGTGCCATAGCTGTTGTTGAAGGTGTTGGTGACCATGGATGCGAGTATATGACTGGTGGAAGGGTTGTTGTGCTAGGTGATACAGGTCGGAATTTTGCTGCTGGCATGTCTGGCGGTATTGCTTACATTCTCGACACCAAAAAAGCATTTAAATCCAAATGCAATGGCGAGATGGTGGATCTTGAGGCTGTAGATGGGACGGAAGAAGCTCAATGGCTCAAAACCATCATTTCCGAGCACCACAAGCTAACTGGATCACACATTGCTAAACGATGTCTGGATACATGGGAAAAAGTGTTGCCTTTATTTGTTAAAGTCATGCCAAGAGATTATCGCGCAGTGTTAATGAAGCAGGCTCAAGCTACCTCGCTGTCGAGTACCAAAACCGTTTCCCTTCCATCGTTGCCCTCCAAAGTGAGTAACGAACCTGCTGTAGGTGACATTGAAGATGGCGTTTTAGATGAAACTGCTGCGGTAAAGAAATCTCAAGTGATTGACAAGGTTCGCGGATTTATCAAGTATCAACGACAGAGTGACACGTATCGACATCCTGAAAAACGATCCAAGGACTGGAAAGAAGTGAATGCTCGTCTATCTACTAAAGAATTAAAGGTTCAAGCAGCTCGCTGCATGGGTAAATCACTTGCTTTGAATATACGTGCTGCCTTTGACAATATTGAATATTATTTTTGCCTGTTGCAGCACTTGCTAAATTGCATCATCTATTCAGTGTATATACTAAATGTTGTTTTTGTTCAACTACTACCAATTAAAAAATCAGATTGCGGTGTTCCTTTTTGTCAATCTGATATGGGTTGTCCGATTGGCAACATTATTCCAAAATGGAATGATCTTGTTTACAAAGACCAATGGCGTGCAGCCTTGGATCGTCTTCTTATGACCAACAATTTTCCAGAATTTACTGGGCGAGTATGCCCTGCTCCATGTGAAGGAGCTTGCGTTTTGGGTATAAACGAGCTTCCTGTTTCCATCAAAAGCATTGAATGTGCTATTATTGATTACGCTTTTGAACAAGGTTGGATGGTGCCTAACCCACCACAAACCAGGACGGGAAAACGTGTGGCAATTGTGGGTAGCGGTCCTGCAGGGTTAGCAGCTGCTGATCAACTCAACAAAGCGGGCCATACTGTGACGGTTTATGATCGCAACGACAGATTTGGTGGACTGTTGATGTACGGTATTCCCAATATGAAATTGGATAAAAGTATTGTACAGCGACGAGTGGATCTACTGGCTGCAGAAGGTGTAACGTTTATTCCCAATGCGCATGTTGGAAAACGAATTTCGCCCAACGAGATCAAGCAAGCAAACGATGTCATGTTGTTGGCTGTGGGTGCTACATGGCCTCGAGATCTGCCCATCAAAAACAGGAATTTAGATGGCATTCACTTTGCAATGGAGTTTTTGCAACGCAATACAAAGTCGTTGATGGATTCGTCACTAAAGGACGGTACTTATTTGAGCGCCAAGGGCAAGGACGTGATTGTTATTGGTGGTGGTGATACCGGCACGGATTGCATAGGCACTTCGTTGCGCCATGGCAAGTATTACACTATTGACTATGAGATGCCTATATTGTTGTAGTACAACAAAGTGATGCAATACGGATTCAAGTTCACTAACTTTTCAACCCATTTCATTACTAGGCGCCAAATCCATTGTCAACTTTGAACTCATGCCTCAACCTCCAGAAACACGCAACAAATCCAATCCATGGCCCGAATACCCTCGAGTATTCAGAGTCGATTATGGCCATGCTGAAGCGGCAACCATTTTTGGTAAAGATCCACGTCAATACTGTATTCTTTCCAAAGAGTTTGTTTCGGATGGTTCTGGTCATGTTAAAGGGATCAACACGATACGTGTTGAATGGACAAGAACAGATCAAGGTGGATGGAAAATGGGCGAGGTTCCTGGCTCTGAGCAGTTTTTCCCAGCCGATATGGTGTTGCTGAGTATGGGATTTCTTGGACCGGAAAAGGAACTGATTCAGCAGTTGCAAGTCAAACAAGACATGCGATCAAACATTGTTACAATGGCTTTAGGTGATGACCACGGATCTACTCTACCAGGAGGAAATGCTCCCATGTCTGCATTAGGTGGTACGTATGCAACAAGCGTTCCTGGAGTGTTTGCTGCTGGAGACTGTAGAAGAGGGCAATCGCTTATTGTTTGGGGGATCAATGAAGGTCGACAGGCTGCAAGACAAATCGATCTACATTTGATGGGTAATACGCGACTGCCAGTAACGGGAGGAATTGAGAAACGGGAAGTGGAGCGACTCAAAGCACTCCAAGCGCATCCAGTTGTTGCTGGAGCTGGTTTAAACATGAGCGTTCATGGCTAATACGATCTTTTCAAACTATCCACACATATCTGTCACTTGGCATACAAGCTGCATTGGCCTGGTGCTTCAAAACTAAAACCAAATAAAACCACTTTAGCCTTGACAACATTTAGATCCTATATAATATTGAATTTATTCCCAACGCATCATCATCTCAGTAGTCAATGTCTTGTGTAATCTGCTTATGCAAGTGATCATCTACGCTTCAGTAACTCCGTTCATTAGCTCCTCTTGCTTGGACTCGTTAGATCCAAGCGGACCTCTAAAATAAAAGGTCGAGTCAAAATCCATTACCCATACAATACTTGTGCAATCAAATACTTACTCTCCACCAGGCACCAACTGTAATGATAGACATCACACAACACAATCCAAAATATGAGCAACATGATTGGAATACGATCCATGCAGTGAGAAGATCACATTACCATGCAGATATTGTTGCCGTTGAGAAGAAGTTGATCAAAGTGTTCCGTTCTGATTCCAGTGGAAGTCATTTCACTAAATTCTAAATGTGAGTGCTGGGTTGGTGTGGTGTAGGTTGGGTTGGACTTACTATTCTGTTACATCTTCCAACACCATGTTGACAAAATCGTCAAATCCCAATAGTGTACCAGTAAACTCTTTATCGCCTTTCATAATGACCCACAGCTTGGATCCAACACACCGATCCACGAGCTCTACATAAGGTCAATAGTGTTTTCGTGGTTAGTATAGAGTTGAAATAGGATGCGTGAATGGCTACACTGTAGATACCGAGTGGGAGGAGTTGTGCTGTTGCCATTGCGCTTGTGAAGAGTTGGTTTGAATTATAAAAACCAAATGTCAAACACTACACAACAATCACGTGAAGTCACATGAACTCTAATGAGTGATGTTTGAATCAACTCGACTATTCCATATTCAATCCTTCATTTCTTCTTGAATCTCACTAAACCACGCTCTAAACTGAATCACAAGTACTCTCTTGAATCATCGAGCCATTGATAGCAAACATCATTTTGCAGTCGAATCTTCATCCATCCACTGATAATACAAAATTATAATTAGCTCTCCGTGTTTTAGTCCATTTACGTCAATTCAACTCACCTCTGGGTTCTTTTTAAGAATCACAAAGCCTTCCAGAACTCCAGAGAGTGATAAAAACTCTTCGGTGGCCAATTCGGCGCGCTCATTATAACCTAGCAAGACTGGAGTCGAGTGTGTTTGGAATCCAGTAATGGTCTTGGGCCGACCAGCCTGTCCAACAACATCAACAGCCTGACCAACTCGCACTGAAACGACAATGTTTTTCAACGATTCATCAAGTGTCATGAGGAAGCGAGGATACATGGCTGGCACAAGGTAATACAGGAAATAGTGTGCTTTACCAAAGATAACTAGCAATAGGGTTGTTTACGTGAGTTGCATTCAAATATCAAAATCAAATATAGAATCAACTTACAGGTTTTGGTATCCGTCATGGCAACAAGAGTCACAAACAATCCAGCAACAGCAGCAGGAGAAAACATGCTTCGGTTAATAGTAAACGGATTCAGAGTAAGCGTTCCTTTACCCATATGCAGCATACCCTAAGCCCAACAAAAACCACCACATTGCATTGTCAGTATCTAAAAATAATTCAATCTGGCGTTCAAAATGCAAAGATTACCTGAGCAACACGAATGACAAAGAGATGGTTGGGTTCTTTATGATAATAGGCAGCAAGTTGCCTTAGCATCTGTGCCAGACGAGCATTGTTTGTTCCAGCACCGACTAATCCCATGGCAAAAATGGCGTTTTGTGCAACATCTGCATCGTTATCATGGGAATATTTGCTAAGAAGATCAAGTAAATTGACCAGTGGATTAGATGCGCACAAGAGACCAAGAGCCAAAGGCACGGCACGGCGAATAACAGGCTCGCCATAGTGCATGAGGTGGTTAAAAGCCCGCATAGCCATCTCAGATCCGATTTCTTCACCCATGGCAATAAGAGCAATGCCAATCACCGCTAACCCTTGGAAACTGGCATCTTCCTTTTCTGGGTCAAGATGATCATTACAATGATGGAGCATTTTTTGGATTTTGAGAACGTTGCCTGTGGTTGCATAAGCACATATCTCAACCATGACTTCGACTTGCTTGGACATGCCTCCTTCAATAACTTTAAGGGTTTCAATTGGAGCATCGGCTGCGTCTTGCTTACCAAGGAACAAAAGTGCCAACCCTGCACCCATGAGCTTAGCGTATGGATCCTTGAGATGCGCTTCCTCGCGTTCCATCATAGTCTGCAAAATAGTGCTGGTAATTTCCCCGTGACAAGTACCGACAAATACCAATCCAAGTGAAAGTGCAGCAAGCGATGCAAGCTCCATGCTAAGACCAGTGTCGCTTACCAGCGGAAGAAGCAGTTCGAGAACCTCTTCTCTAGCACCCCGAGCATAAGCGATTCCCAATCCAACAATGGATGTAGCACGGATAATGGCACTCGATGCGTTGACCTGTTCAGACAAGAGAGCGAGAGCAGGATCAGATTCATTCCGCACACCAGAAGTAAGCAGTCCGATTGCCAATAGGGCACCCGCCTTGATGTTGTCGTCTTGAGAATAGAGGTATTTGTCAATATGAGTAAGTCCAATTTCCACATCCCAAAGGAGAATATTTCCCAATGAAGCGGCAGCACTAAGCATTCCATGGTCTTTGTTCTTGTAGATCCAGCTGCCCTCATCGGTACCCATCATGAGTTTATCAGTACCAAATCCAGCATTTACAAATGCATTGACAAAAGTAGATGCAAGGTTCTGCTTGGCAGAATCGACATTAGCACTGGATGCTCCAGGACGAGTGTTTTCCAAATGGCTCTTGTATATATCTTCAGGAACCTTGGGTTCAAGCACATCCAGATCGCGAGCAAGGGTGATAAACTGCTCACTTAGACGGGTATTGTTAAGAATTTCGTTTATATCCTCATCGTCAACTACCAAATGCAGTTGCTGGCGAGCAAGCAAAAATGCAAGCTGCTTTTGAAGAACAGGGTTTTTGCACGACTCAAAGTCATCCTTGATCATTTCTGCGTCATTGAGTTTCATAGAAATCTGAATGGCTGATGGAAATTGATCGAATTTCCTATAGATTGCATGAGCAGTCTTGAGAATAACTACATCGTCGGGTGGAGATACATATGGAGCGCAGCTAATCATATTTAAAAAACTAAGTATCTGGTAGAGTTGAAAAAGACGGGGTATAGCAGTCTAGGGTAATTCAAAAGCCATACCTGCTAATGTAAAGACAAACACGAGCATAGGTGTCCTTGTCAACGTACTCGGCAAGCTTATCCAAAGATTCGATATCAATCAGCAAATCACATGCATCACCTTCTGCATTGTGCTTGAGAAAAAAGGGAACAATTTCTAATGCCTGCTCAACAACATAGGTAGTAGGACGATCTGACTCTTGTAAAAATGCATACTCGCCAATAAGCTCACCAGCCAAGTGGCTAAAAAAGAGGATTAGACGATTGACATACAAACCATCAATGATATCTATGCAAGAATTACCGAACGTATTCGTGGCCCCAAGATCCAGCAGGCTCGGATGAACCAGCCATGCGAAAACGCAGACTATCACGTTTTCCTTCTTCGGCATAGGACATGGCCATTACCGACAAGATATCTGCAAGAAATTTCTGCAAAAACAACCGGATATCAGCAAGAGCCCAGACAGGAGAGATTCACAAGGCATATCAATTACCCTGACTTCAGAAACGGGCCATTTTTCAAACAACTCGACAAGAATAGGATAATGAGGTCTTAAAAACTTGAGTGGTTTGGGAACCGAAGTCATTGAGCTAGTGGATGTGCGAATAAGAGTCCGAAGAGTCTCTAGTGCAGGTCTGTACAGGTCGGTTTTTTGCTCCTATACGCAACACTAGAAATCAGACAGAATCAACCAACAGATTTCTGGCATGAATCAAGAATACCTTTAGTCTTTCTACCAGCATCTCGAGCTCAGACTTTAATTGCTGATCCTCTTCTGACTTGGAGTTCAAATCAACAAAAAGTTAGTATGACATCTTCCGAACCCATGCAAAAGTCGTGGTGTTGAATGTTTATTAGAGGAGATCTCTAGCACAAGTTTTAGAATGAAACACAAGTCTGACACTACATGAAAAACAGACCAGCAGACAAGACAACAACACACAGTGCCAACAGTCACGACAGACTTTTGGAATAGTTCAACACAGACAGTCCAGACAGCATGTCATGAATTGTGGTTCTGTCTCACAAAAACAACAGATATTGCTAAACCATGACATTCATCAACGTCACAACCCTGGCACACTGCCAACAACGCAATAGTAGATTTACCAGTTCATCTTCCTCTATGGGTTTCCCATCCTTTCCCTTTTTCACAGAGTCCTTTTTATCCGTAGCAGGACTCGGCACACTGTCCTTTTTGTCCTTTTTGTCCTTGGTAGTGACAGTAGAGTCCTTGTTCTTGTCGGCAGTAGTCATGCTGTTTGGGATTAAAAAGGAAAACAATTCAACTCGACTTTTAGTGAAATTGTCAAAACTATTGAATCTGAAGATTGTTTATTTCATTCCAATTTCATTCCAATTTCATTCCATTTTATCCCAAATTCATTCCATTTTATTCCCATTTCATTCCCAACTTCATATTTATTGATACCAGCCTTGAATAGGCTGGATTGTCATTCACTGCTTAATCCTCGTCTTCATCTTCCAAATCTTCTTCATCTTCATCGTACCAAAAATCTTCATCTTCGATTGTATTCTCAACAGGTTTTCGAACTGCATAGTGCTCATCACTTGTAGGTAATTCATATCCATCGGGTATATCTCGTCGTGAAATCTCCACTTGGTTTTTTACTGCCAGACAGTATTGATCGTGGTCTTGTCTATACATGACCTAGAACATCAACACACGATAAATCATCAGAGTAAAATAGATTCTGTCATTCAACTCACTTACCCCTGCATCCACATTTGCTGGTGATGAACAGTTTGGGTCGTTGAGAAGAGATACAACGGATAATAAAATGGATTCAACAGTTTGTGTTGGATTCCATCGTTCTTCTGCTTTTTCTCCGCTACAGTTTATAAACAAAATCGCGCGGTTTAAACTAGCTTGAATCATACAAACTATCCACTATCGATTGTAGAACTACCTTAGCGGATCGTCACCTGGAGGGTGCAAAATGGATATACATATTCTTCCATCCGAATACCTTGACCACACATGTCAACCAACTGTATGACTACAAACCATACATGCACATCACTTACACGTTGGGATGGAAAAAAGGTCGATTAAACTTGAACGAAGGTGGGTTAAAGGGATAATCTGATGGAAAACACATGGTACTCTACAAACCATTGTCAGAATGAGCGACAATGTCAAAAACTAAACTACAAGACTTACTAGAAAGTATCCGCTTTCGTAAATTGTCTTGGGTGGTCCGATCACTCCAATCCTATACCAGAAACCCTAATTAAATCCAGACGGACCATATCTAGCACTTTATACTCGAGCAAGACTTACTCCCATGTAAATATATCATCATCTTTAAGGTTAATCTAATCAAACAAGAATGAGTGGGTTTGGAGCCAATAGAAATTCACAACTCCGCCAAACACAAAGCCAGGGTGATGCATTGACTACCCAATCTAGACTATAAAAATAAATTCAGTACATACATTGAATCCAGGTATAGGACAATGGCTCAAGTCTAAATGCATGTATCCATGTGATTCCAGATTCAATTATATTGACAAGGTTATTCAGTCGGGTTGATATTCAAGTAGAAACTTAAAGTTGAATACAAAAGTTGATATAAAATGACCTCTAAACTGTCGTTGTAGTGTTGCAGCTGCACTAGATCCCATTTGAACACTGTTCTTTCAATTGAGTTGGAAGCGTTGGACGTTTGAACAAAATATTACGACTGGTGACAAAGTAATGAGAAATGGAGAAAAACAAGATATTCTCGCATCATGTGTTTTACAAATATCGATGGATTTGAATCACAGATTCATGGTGTTGCTTTAGTTGTTTAAATATCAATTCACGTAAAATATAACTTGTCTTGGAATCAACAATCGTTACATGTTATTGAAACTCTTTTAATATTAAACACTTTTTATTCAAGAAATCATCTCAAGTTGTTTTTATGCTGGTCACGCAATATTCACTTGAAATATTTGGATAAAAGAAAAGTTGGAAATTGAACAACTGTGAAATGTAAACATTTGTATTTCTGTACAAGAATGAGCATAGAAATCAATCAACCAAGAGCTCAAAAAACAATATTGTCCAGTAAGATTGGCACTAAATATAAGACTTTATTATTATTCCAACTTTGGTGATTCATTTTACGTGAATATGGTTGTAAAAATCATAATACTTTGGTTGATCTTGTTTTGGTATAATATTTGGTGTTGCATTCATAGCCTAAACTAATCTACAGTTTTACAAACCAAAGATTTGTTTTTAAAATACAGTCTGCTTGATACCAGAATGTCGATTAAACATTAACTTGAAATACATATAAACCATTACATCCCTATTATAACACGCATTAAATAGTGCATTCATTTTAAACAATTCAATATGCATCTTCATCTGCTTGCTGTTGATCTTCAACCCCTGATGATGCTGCTTCTGCTGCCAATTTGGCTGCAATCGCTGCCGCACTCAGCACTTTGTATAGTTTTAGGACTGGCTTGTTGGGGTCACGCATCAACAGGTATTTGCCATCATCTAGTCCTTCACACAAGTCTCCAAAAGCTTTAACCAGTCCCCATCCTGCCCCTACATTCAAGTGAATATGTGTTGCCAAATCATCAGGCTTGTAGACCATGGATCCAAGAATACCGTGTCGCTTACGGTCTCGTGGGTTAGAACGAGATACAAATCCAAGACGAATCTGATCAGCAGAAGCCAAAAGTGACTCGATTGTCCATCTGCATAGCTTGTTGGCATTGTTTTTAAGTTCAGTCGCTACCACTGCGCCTCGTTGAGAATCTAGTTTTTGACGCCATGACGGAGCACCTCCAGCACCCGGTGCACGAGGATCAAATTCATTAAGAGATCTAATGGTAGCATAAAGAGTGTCCGACTCGGAAGCACTTGAAAAGGCAACACCAGATGGAGGTTCTGTGTCGAGTCCAGCTCCTGGCTGATGAACTGCTGCATCTATCTGTGTGCGTGCAATCAGCTTCATCTCACCCAGCTGCCATTGTCGGTATCTGTATGCTGCAGAAACCAATGCTTCTGCAGGTTCACCATGAGAAAATGGACTAGGATTGGTAAAGGTAACTCGCTCTGCCTAAAATTGAATCTAGTTAGTATTGACACGTTTAGCATTGTTAATGTGTTGGATGCTTACCTCGCGCAATACTTGCTGAGAATAGGATCGAACAATATCACCAGCTTCATGAGCCAAAGCAAGAGGACTGTTGATGTTGGTTGCTTTATCAGGCCCATCCATAGGAGCATCAGAAGCATTTTCATTGACCGTAGGCAAGTCCAAAACACCGCCATCACGCTTGTCCAAATAGACGATATTTTTTTTCTTGGTGACAATGATATCAAATGAATTGATGGAGCGAGTAGAAGCCATCAGAGCAGCCAAAACAGAGCTAGTTGTGATGATAGTGTAGCCATCTGCAGATTTTGCCAGATTTTGCAAAACAGGATCGTCAAAGGCAGTGACATTGTGATGGGTTTTTTTAGTAACAAGCAAAGGTTTTTCATTCTTTGAAGAGATGCGCTCATAGGCCTTGTCAATATATTGAACAGAGCCGTAAACGGCACTGAAAGGTTGAGATCAGTTTAAAAGCACATATTAGTAATACACATAAAAACAATGTTTTGATGCAAATAATACATTTGGATCAGCCAGTGTGAATACATGCCCTCCATATTCAACTCTTACGAGTGGAGCGTCAGCATATAAAAAAAGATAACATCATATCCAATAAAAAAAACAGAAAATTACATACATATCGACAGGAGGATCACATTGATAATACAACTTGCTTATGCGAGCAAAGTCCAATTCTTCAACAACATCCCAGTTGGGATCAACCTTGACGGAAGGTTCACGAATCTTGGCCTGGCGATCAGCAAAGCGACCGCCTCCTCTTCTGGCACCAGTAGAAGCAGCCGAGGTAGATTGTAGACGAGAATTAGAGCCAGGAACATTAGATCTTGTGGTGGCAGAGTTTGAGGTATTGGAGCGAGCAGCACCCCAAGCACCAGACTGAGCAGTAGTACGGCCTGTAGTAGAACGGAGACCTCCACGACCACCAGAAAAGGCACCTCTTGTAGCAGTGGAAGTAGGAGGACGATTGAAGCGAGAGTTGATGGTGGTAGCTCGATCCACTACCGAGAACGAAGCATCGTCATCGTAATCAGCGGAAGATAGATAAGTAAAGGCAGTAGTGGGAAGAGTATTGAGGGAGAGGATCTTCGAGTAGTGTCAGTTTCAGCAGGAAGAGACCAATCAGCCATTTTTCCAACTCGATCTGACTTGATGAACGGAGCATAAGGAATATGCAAAATAGAAGAAGGGAGAGTAGAGAGAGAAGGACCCCAATAGCCAGGGTTTTCAGAGAAGGACGAAAGAGAAAACGGAAGCAGACTCGAGTCAGTACTAGAAACAGTCATGATAATAATTGTCAAGCCAATTCATCGATTTTCTGTTTTTAAAAAAAAAGAAAATTTACCTGAGGATATTCTATGTTGCGTTGAGCAATTCAACACAATATAACTTGCTCATCTACAGATGGATTCTTCCAATTTATCGATTCCTGTTGCTGCAGAAAACCATCTCATCACCAGTGATATTCCTATCGGATATAACAATTCCACTTGTTTGATTAACTCGGACAATTATGAATTCGGCGTCAAACTCAACTTGCTTTTACAGCAAGAAGCTGATCTGGCCTTGGCTGAACAGCAGCTTAAAGCTCTTGAAAAACTCAAACTGGACATGATGATGACTGGCCCATTCAACTCGACTATCACTACTGATGAATTTGCTTTAAAGTCTTCTCATAATGACTCGGTCGCCAATGTTATTCCCAAACCACATTGGAATCCCCGCTTCGCTTCGCTTTCGTGTCCGATTGCTCCGGACATTCTTTTGCAATCCAACAGTCTTGTTTCTGAACATTCGTCTCAAAATACCAATCTTGTTGATCCAAACACTGTCGAAGATCATGCAAAAAATGTTTGGTCTGATAAACAGCTGGAAATGTATTCTTCTCTCACTGCTCTCACTCAAGAACTTGAACTACTTGAACGTCGTCAAATGAATCTCATGAACAACAATGTTTTGTCCGATTCAAATCACGCTTCTACAAATCCTCTTTCTTTGCTAAAAAATGAAAATGGTGCTGTTCAGGGCTTGATGGATAGACTTGCTGCTGCTTCCGTTCATGATCAACTTGGTCCTAATATCTTGACGCAATACTCTTCTAACCCTGTATCTACTCAAGGCGTACCTGTCTGCGAGGAAATGAGCCCAAATCCTTGTCAATCTACAGATACTACAGTTCTCAGTATTCAACAAACAAGTCCTGATTCCGTTCATCAGCTATGTCGTCACGATTCTATAGATTCCATTCAGACTCCACTGGCTGCCAACAATCTACTCAAATCTGCTGTTTCACTTGCAGAGCCCGTGTCCAATAATCTAAATCAAATGACTACTGCATTGGGTGTCGATGTTGACGAAACAAATGCCGAAATACAAGATGGCATGAATGTAAGCTTTTTTTGAAATCTGTCGTCCAGTATTCACATTCTCATATTTATTTTTTGTTTATATAGCAAATCAATTCTCAGATCATGATTTTAGAAAAGGCAAGAGCTTATGCTCGCAATCCTACAGAAATTGCACAAATTGATGGCATGCTTGAAAAACTTGTTACTCAGGCTCATGAACTGCACACTGTTGAAAAATCACTTGCTCAGTACCACAAACTACTTGCTGAGCAGCAGTCACTTCAAGCACTATTGTCTGCGACTGAAAATATTCAACTATTAAATGCAAATGACAGTGTTTTTCTTTCATCCAACGTGATGGTCACTGATATGCCAGATTCACTACCCAAATTGCCTGCCAAAAAACTAGCACATTCATTACCCTTACTAAAGCACAACATGAATCTTGAAAGTTCAAAAAGCATCAAAAAGAAACCACTTGGTCGCGCATCTACAAAAGTTGCCGCTTTACAATCTATTTCTCCTTTGGCTCATGCAACTTCCATTGCAAACATTGATCATTGTAATGCCAGTGTTTCAACAAAACACTCTGCATCTGTTTTTGATTCAAACCCCATCAAATCCAAAACCCATGGTACTTTGTTTAAAAAAACTGTCGCTTCACCATCTGCTCCGCTCACTCAAATCCCCATTGCTGACATTGAACCAGAATCCTATATAAACATGTCTATCCAATCCATCAATGACATGACAGATGTTCCTTCATCTGCCAACCCAGCCACTGACTCTTTTGTCTTTGAATCTGATCACATAAACAGGCTATTTGCTCAGCACAAGGACGAAATATACCGACGTGCAGCCGATACCATCTCAACACACGACGCCAGCCCATACTTTCTTCTTTCCGTGTTTAAAACACTGTCAAAACTGGATTCGCAGTATGCAAGAGAACGAGTGATGATTGCTTTGGATGAAATTGTGGATCAAGTTCAAGACATAAAAACTGATTCTAGTATTTCTACCAAGCCAACAATGAAATCTGTCGGCAGTCAGCAAAAAAAGACACAAGATGCCAACATAAAACTCAAACCGAATCTGCCTATCCATTCAAACTCTTTGCCACCACACTCGGTTTCCATCAACCAAGACCAACCAAAACCTTTAAAACCACGCTTATCAGACAAGTCTCAATTGCAGCAACTGATTCATCAGGCTCTACAAGATCATATTACGCAAATCTGCAATCAAGCTATTCTGTCTGCGTCAACAACTGCAAAATCAGCCGTATTTACACTACCCATACTTGAAGATCTGATGATTCAAACTCATAGTAGCATTTACTCTTATGTCAGTATGCTACACATCAAAGCAGACGGCACCACTGGTGAAGATGCACACTCTCATGCTATGAAGAGTGTTGCATCTCAGCGAAGTGCAGTTGAATCTGTGTTGGGAAAATTCAAGGGATTAAGTGTAGAAAAGTATTGCCATGAGCTTAGTAACACTGTTTCTACGTTGCTAAACACAATGTTTGATAAAGAACTCAATGGCAACAATAAGGACGAGGTTGCGTCTCAGTTTTGCACTCAACCATCATCTGAATCAACTTCAAATGTTGCGTGGAAAGCTGTTCGGAATGCAAGTATTCCATCCAACCCTACACCGTCCGCTCCATCACTGGTGCTACTGAAATCTGATTCAGAAATAGATGCTGAATGCGAGATTGATGACTTTTATGATGACACGTATGCCTCGCGCTATAACCACGAAACTGGCTCACACCCATTCGATGACGTTGAACATGATTCAAATGGTGATCAAATTGAATCAAGATCTAATCCTTCCGATATGTACACTTCCGTCAATACTGGTCTTGCTACTACAGATTACGATTGCGAGGCCAACTTAAACTACGCGAATGATGATTGCTCTGAGCTAGAAAGTGATGAAGATTACGAGGATGAATATGATGCCGAGTGTCAGCTCGGGTTTGATGTAACCGACAACAACAAGTCCAACAGCAGCATCACCTTACCATGCACTATTTCCATCAACGATGAAACTGAAATGGATAGAGAAGATGAAAGAGCAGCAGATTTACTCGAGGAAAGAGTTGAGTTGGTCAAGCAACAGATGGAGATTGATCTGGCTTTGGATGATATGATTCGAAAAGAGCATGTGGCAGGAACTTTTACAGATCTGCAAAGTCCACAGAAAATCAAGTCTGCTAGACATTACATCAACGTCGACTGCAATAATCCAATCGATCCAAATGTGATTATTGTTGAGGGAGGCAAAATTCAAAGTAAACCAAATGCGATGGTTGACAGTGTATACACTGGGTATGTGTGTTGCTTGATATGTGATTGTACAGTACGTTGAGCTTATACACTGTTTGATATAGGTCAGCACTTTAAATTCAAGGATGCACAGGTTGTAATCACTGGACTGATATTGTTTTTTACATGTCATCAGCAATTGAGCAGCAAATACAAACTAGCAGATGATGTGACAGGTATTGACAGATTGAATCAATCCATTATATAAACTGGGTTCGTAGTTCAATTTGACAAAATTGAATAAACCTTACTTTTGAATGGCATCATGTAGACTGGTTCAATCACCACTTTTTCAAACATTGAATTGGATAAATCAATCAATTACAATGTCATGATATGATAGTAACTACGTAATATATAGTTTATACTTGACTTTCACTGCATGATTTCAATCAGTCGTATATCATCAATGTTAACGCCCACTTGATGATGAGAATGTCATGCAGTATTGATTTACAAGTGCTGACACCAAATCACAATGTATTTGACAAACACATCTAACGAATATTACCGTATAATTGGTTTCAATCAACATCTACGGCCATACACACAAGAAAATACCGGATCCCGTTCGATCTCCGAAGTCAAGCTTGTGATGGCTCAGTCAGTACTGTGGTGGGGGACCACACGGGAATACTGAGTGCTGTAGTTTTTGCTAAATTAACAATCTGATCTCGTTTTGGTATTCTGGATCAAATCTCGACTTGAATCTTTATGTGGTTGTGTTGCAACTGGAAAGCAAGATTTTCATTTGATAAACTATTTGACAGTATCTTAATATGGCGTGTATACTGTGTTCACTACATGATGATTCATTCCATTTGTCTTGCAAACACTAAATACTACCATAACAGCAGCATAGTATACACTGTATTACCTTCAAGCTATCGACTTTTTCAAGCATACTGCACTAATCAACTAGTATACACCATATACACTGCATGATTAGTTGCACTTTCAATCACCATCTGTCATTATTTTGTTTGCTACTAGTTCACCAGTTTGCATTCAATCACATGCATATTATTACAAACACCATTGTGCAATATACATCATTCTTATGATCGTGTTTGTACCAACTCGGATCTGAATGATTACATACACTTTCAACATATTTGATATGGTCTGATCCAGTGACACATTAGTCAATATCTATATGCGAGTTTCCCACTCACTTTTGATTATTGCAATGCGGATCCACAATGTGATTAAACTGGCACTATTACCATACTTGAATAGGCTACTGCTAGACCATTGTACACGATTACGTATTCGACTACTGACATGCATAACATGTTCAACCACAATATATCATCAAGTATTACATCACAACACATGTAGTCATTGACTTGAGATCTGCAACTCTGTACCACACCAACAATTGGAATGACGATCGCAATCATTTATTCCATCGAATGATCAACTATAATACAATAACATGATGGCATTCATTGACAGCTGTCGTGTCCATCACATGTATGATACTGTTCATTTATACATGAACAATGCAGCCACATTTGCAGGTGAACCCACATTCTGCATACTTGATTACTTTTAACATCATCGACCACTGCCTCTGCAACAATTGGGAATGCAACACCATCTTGTAATGGTCAGATCTGTTTGACTGGTCATTGTCATGACTGTTGCCATGACTCTTTGCAATGCTTTGGATAGTCCAAGATTGGAATGACACTGACCATTTCAATTATACAACTCATATCTGAAATCAAGCAATTGATGCATTACCAGTCTAGTGTTTTGTTGAGATTGCTTGCGATTTGAAAGACCGGATAACTTTTCATTTGCCGTATTATTTCATCATTTCGAGTCAATTGCTGTCCGTTTTATCCGATTTTCGAGTGGGCTATACAGTTGTAGTCAATCAATGCACATGCTTACTACTTTATGCTTTTGCTTATCAACTCAAAATCTAGTCATCATGATCTTGAAATAAAAAAACATATTTACAATTATTCCATTATCATATTAAACGAATTAGTGTGATGTAAATCAAACTGTAACCATGAATGATTACAAATGGCATGGTGATGCAACAAACTTGGTATATAAATATGCATGCTATTAGCCTAAATCATTCAGATCACCAATAATATGTTCATGTTTTGAATATTCGATCGACTCATGCTCCAATGACTCTTGTTTCAACACATACAGCATATGTATACAGTCAATACAAACAAATGTATTGGCGCGCTGAATGTGAAATGGCGTTTTACATTATGCTAAGCATTCAAATGTTTTGCTGAGCGGGTTATTGTAAGATGGTATAGCAGTTCTAGTGGGTTCAAAGCCTCAAATATGTGCAGATTACATCACATTCTAGCCCTGATCAAATTCCACGTTCACCCGCAAAACATGAATGGATGAATCTGAAAAAAATAACCCTGACATATAGCCATAATATATGCTCCTTAAAATCACTATCCATGCAATTACCTAATCAAAAATAATGCAATAAAAACCCGCTTCACATGCACTCAATGACGCCCATGTGCTGTTTAATCAGTCTATGTGTGGTAAACTTTATGTTGTTGTGTAGCATGCTTGTAGATTCAAAATATAAAACAAATGGAGTGGCATGCAGCTAATTTTATCAATATCTATCACCAACAGTTTAATCCTAGACTTGCCACGTATATGCTATAAAGTACTAAAGCCAGTACAATGCTTGTCCCTATCATTTCCTTTGTTCTTGCTCTTATTACTTCTGTAATTTTTGCTGCTCCAATCATTCCGTCCATACAAGATGCCTCTGACAGTCTTCCATTCTACTTTCCCCAATCTATTTATCAACATATTCCTTATGAACATTCATCCAGCCTCATTGCTCCGTCCAATACCGATCCAGTCAAGACCGGTGTTACATATCTCTGTGACCAACTCAATATTTCTCCTAGTGAGTTCAAGGTCTACAATAGCTTTACGGATAATGTTGGCGTAACTCACGTATATGGTGTTTACATGGTTAATGACACACCTGTATCTAATCACCAAGCCGCTGTCCATATCAAAAATGATCATATTATTTCCTACTCTACTTCGTTTGGTACCAAGAGCCATCTTGCTAAACGTGAGCTTTCTATTGCGGAACCCAAAACCAAACTGACGTTTGAACAGGTTGCTGATGATATATCCAAAGCCAAAGGTCTGCCAGTTTACTCTGAGTTTAAACATGAGTTGGAATATGTTCAACAGGCCGATGGCACTCTTGTGTATGTTTACAAGTTCCAGCTCCGCGACGCGGATATTAGTTCCTGGATTCAAGTTTGGGCGGATGTCAACACTGGTACGGTATTTCAAATCCAGCATTGATTTTTGTGGATTCAGCACTAATCTGAATGTGAATGGGTTGATGTTAGGCAAACTGGTTCAGGCTGTTGATTTTGGTCGTCATGCAACATACAAGGTTATTCCACTTCCTGGTCTCAGTCCTGATGATGGTTTCTCTAGTGTCAAGAATCCAGAATACAAACCATCGTCACCTAATGGATGGATTGACAAGGCTTCCACAGAGGGTAACAATGCCAATACCATCAACTCTTTTAAAATACCACGTGGGCCAGAAACTAGTGTTGGTGGTGTATTCGATACCAAGTTCAATTCCACTGCTGACCCCAACAATCCTGCCAACATGAATGCTGCAGCCGTCAACATGTTTTATTTTGCCAACCTGATGCACGATATCACATATCAGTATGGTTTCAACGAGGCTGCTGGCAATTTCCAAAATGACAATTTTGGAAAAGGTGGCAGAGGCGAAGATGCAGTTACTATCGAGGTTTTGGACGTTGCGAGTGCCAACAATGCCATATTCTTTGCTCCTGTCGATGGTATACCTGGTAAAATGAGAATGTTTCGATATACTTCCAGTAAGCCTCATCGCAATCCTGGTCTGGACAATCAAGTCGTTTTGCACGAGTATGGTCATGGTATTTCAATTCGTTTGACTGGTGGATCTTCAACAGACAATTGCTTGTCCAGGGCCGAGTCTAATGGTATGGGTGAGGGCTGGTCTGACATATTTGCCATGATCATAACTGCCAAACAATCACACAAAGCCGACACTCCTATTGCCTTTGGTAGCTATGCCAAGAATTCGCCCAGCGGTCTTCGCTCTCATCCTTACACTACTGACATGAAAGTCAATCCCTTGACGTATGCCGATCTTCAAACTCGTAAATTAGCTCACGATATGGGTGAAGTGTGGGCAGCCATGCTTTGGGACATCTACTGGAACTTGGTCACCAAGAGCGGATTCTCCACCAATCTTTACAATGCCAAGGGCAAGTTTGGTAATGTTATTACTATGCAGAATATGATTGGTGGAATGATGCTTCAACCATGCAATCCCACTTTTATTGATGCTCGGGATGCCTTTATTGCATCTGATGCTGTCCACTACAAAGGTGCCAACAAGTGCGAAATCTGGAAAGGTTTCGCCAAACGAGGTTTGGGAGTCAAGGCTGCAGATTACACAAACGATTTCACTGTTCCAGCGGAATGCAGTGGCGGTACTTTATCATCTAGCAGTGCTTATATTTCTAAAACCACCGAGAAACCTTTTGCTGATTCCAAGAAACCTATTGTCAATTTCACCAAAGAGCCCATTGTCAATACCATCAAATAGCCATTTGCTACAACTACATTGAAAAGAATTGTGATCAGAACTAAATTCTGGAATCAAACTTGTCAATATAATTTATATTTTCTGTCATTTTCTGTCATTTACAGCCATATTCACAAAATAAACTTTTATGCATTTATCTTGGTGATTGTCACTTGCTTTGGGATATGCAATGATTACATATTTGGCTGGTTGATACTACACATTGACTACGTGTTTGATATACAACAACCATCATATGACATGCAATCAGAATATAGTGTCGAATCTACATTTGGTGCACTTTTAGTAATCATACATTGTACGATCATAATCTAGTTCAACAACAATCATGACACATGTCAGTAATGCAACTGTTGTTTGCATGCCAATTACCACCAACAATACCATTGAATTGTCAATCAGTCCATGACACTGATTGTTTATTACACATCAACACTGTTATTTAGTGGTCCATTTACATCAATACGACACTGCATATATTACATTGCAGACTGACACAACACAACACTAATTGACCAATATCAAACCGGTTGATGACGCAATCTACATCCGACTTTGAACAGGTGTATTGCTCCGTTTGTTGTACAATTCACGGCATGATCAGTCGATGGTATCATGCAAGTATGACTGATAGTTACATGTACAATCAACACTGATTGTTATCAAGTCATTAATGTATCAATCAACAATCCAGTAACTGTTGATGTAATACCCAACACAATATACAATAAATAATATGGTTGTTGACCCATTCACAATACTCGACAAATACCAACACACATCAGAAAGCTTAAATTTATTCAAAATCGAATCCATCGACAAACCATCAATCTGAATCTGAATCTGGCTCATCCATAAGTTCTCTTAGTTTTTGCTCCAGATATTCTACTCTTCTCCCTTGTCTTTCACACCTTCTTTTCCATTTCTCTTCACCCTTTAAACTGTAGAATGATTTCGATACACTTTTACCCTTTGCTAATCTTGACCATTGTTTGGATACAAAGAATTGATGTTTACGATATTTTTTGCATGCACCCTTTCGTCTCCTTTTATACTCTTTGATTTTTCTTTTTAGTTTACGAACAAGCTTCCTATACTTTTTTCTTGATAAAGTCTCTTGATCCGAATCGGTATCTGAATGGTGTCTAACAACTGAGTGTTTCCGGCTTCGACTGGGAGTGTTTCCATTTGTTCCTTCTAGCTGTCGTATCATGTAGTGTTTTGCTTTACTTGCCTTTCTACACGTTTCTTTCAATTCATGTTCAGTCCTTGAACTGTACTTTTTTCCAGATATCTTTTGACCATTTGATTTCAACTTTTTCTGTTCAAGTCGAGTAGCTTTATATTCATAGTAGGAATTGCATGCGGCCGCTCTTGCTCTTTCAGCGTTTTCAAGATTTATATCTAGTTGATGAGTGGGTCTATGTTTTTTGGCTGGTGCAATTCCCTGATCTGAATCGGTATCTGAATGGTGTCTAACAATCGAGTGTTTTCGGTCTCGACCAGAAGTACTCGGATCGGGTTTGTCAATCGAGTGCTTCCGGTCTCGATTAGGAGTACTTGGACCGGGTTCATCAATCGAGTGTTTCCGGTCTCGATTAGGAGTACTCGGACCGGGTTTATCAATCGAGTGTTTTCGGTCTCGACTGGGAGTGCCTAACATGGCTTCCTGTAATTTCTGTCTCAGAATGTCTAGTCTTCTCTTTGTAGCTTCCCACTCTCTATCCAATTGATCTTGACGTTGTTTGCTGTACTCTTCTCCAGATATCGTTTTGCCCTGCAATATTAACCTTTTTTGTTCAAATCCAAGATCCCTATACTCATAGTAAGAATTGCGTGCGATTGATTCTGCTTTCCCAGCGTCTTCAACTTGTATCTTTAGTTGGTGAATGAGCTCATTGTTTTTTCCTGATGTAGTCCCTTGATCCGAGCCATTATTATCTGAATGATCTTTAGCAACTGAGTGTTTTCGGTCTCGACTGGGAGTGCCTAGCCTGGCTTCCCGTAATTTCTGTCTCAGAAAGTCTAGTCTTTTCCTTCGAACTTCCCACTCTCTATCCATTTGATCTTGACGTTGTTTGCTATGCTTTTCTCCAGATATCGCTTTGCCCTGTGCTATTAACCTTTCTTGTTCAAATCCAAGATCCCTATACTCATAGTAAGAATTGCGTGAGATTGATTCTGCTTCCTCGGCGTCTTGAAATTCTATTTCTAATCGATGAATGAGCTCACTGTTTTTACTTGATGTAGTCCCTTGATCCGAGCCATTATTATCTGAATGATATTTAGCAACTGAGTGTTTTCGGTCTTGTTTGGAAGTACTTGCAGTGGGATTATTAGCTGGAGATTGCTGACCTTGTTTGGGAGTACTTGCAATGGCTTTTTCCAATTGTTGTATTGCGTCGCGTTTTACTTGGCTTGCATGGTCACACTTTTCCTTCAATTCCTGCTCAGTTTTTGGGTTGTGCTTTTCTCCAGATATCGCTTTACCATCTGATTCTAAAATTTGTTGATCGAATCCCAAGACCTTATAATCATAGTAAGGCTTGCATGCGGCCACTCTTGCTCTTTCGGCGTCTTCAACTTCTCTCTCTAATCGACGAATGAGCTCACTGTTTTTTTCTGATGCAGTCCCTTGATTCGAGTCATTATTGCCTGACTGATCTTTATCAGCTGGGTTTTCCTGACCTCGTTTGTAAATGTTTGAACTGAATCCAGCAATTAATCCAGATGCTCCAGGTGAACCATTGCTACCAGTCGAGACCAGCATTGCATTAGCGGTTACTGCCGCGCTCAGTAAGAATAAAATGCCAGTGAATTTCATCAAGTCCGATGAATATGTTTAAACAGTTGGTACAAAAGTAGAGTGTTGAAACTGGTGTCGATTCTAAAACTGAGCGTACTTGACAGTACTTATATTTTGTATAGCAAACCAACCCTAACCCTTCTAGGTTAGTCGACTACACAGGGTTATTTGACTGCTTGCGATGGGCTACTATCAAACTAGACAGTATACTGCTCCCTGGTCACAATATCATGTTGTGCTTCCGTGACCCTTTTATCAGATGTCTTGAAAAACACCCTTCAAGAGTGTTGTGTAGCCTTGTAAACGCACCCTTTTACAACCATATTCGCGTAAAAATGGATCGCTTTGGTATTCATCCAGCAGTGACTTTGATTTGGGATATACAATGGTTACATATTTGGCTGGTTGATACTACACATTGACTATATTGATTGTTCCAAATACAACAACCATCATATGACACACAATCAGACTATAGTGTCGAATCTACATTTGGTGCACTTTTAGTAATCATACATTATACGATCAACAAGTTTGAACCCATATCCATGTATTGCAATCGATATATTGTGTTTGACTGTAGATGTTGTCAATGTTGTCAATACAACTCTGTACACACATTTGTTGTATTCTGAATCACGGATACGATCGCAGTCTAGTTCAACAACAATGATGACACATGTCAGTAATGCAACTGTTGTTTGCATATGCATGACACTGTTATTTAGTGATCCATTTACATCAATATGGTTGCAAGTTGTTGTTATATCACGTATTCTGGACATGGTTTTGATATTGCACATCCAGTTCCATCACATTGTTGCTGACCCATCATTGTAACGCTGTATGTATCAAACACTGGCATGTCACCATAACCATAATCAGTAAAATGACATTCGAGTTGTTTACTGTGATCAATATATGCAATCCAGTGCGACTACACATACTGGATCCAGTCTGTTGATTGTTCCAGTTGACCTTGATTCACTTTTGATGTTTTGTTCGAGATTGACAATACAAATGTGTCAAGTGAACCCAAACTACACGACTCGACTGTTCATGTCAATTGGATTGTAACTGAACTATGCGATCATGATATGTATTCAATCCATACCATGTATTACTAATACAATAGTATGCGTGATCATCGTGTATCAAACAACTACGATACACACTGGACTGATCCAATACATGCACGGCTTGAACATATCACACAATCAAACATGAACACACCACATTAAAAATACATATAGTATCACTTTGTCACTAATGAATCGTATTCAGTCGAGTTTATTGAGAGTCTGTTTGTGACTCTTGACAGTGTGGTGAGTGTTTTCAGGCACAACTACTTGATCAGTTGTAGTTGTTGATGATTGAAATCAAGAGTCCTGACGTACATCATATCAAATATAACATAGTCATGGCCATCATCCATTCAACAAATAACCAATTTTATTGATATATATCTGCTCAGCCCTCAAATTTCTCGTAACTAACTTTTGACCGCTTAGTACCACGGAGAGTACTACCAAGTCGCGACAATCTCCTGAGAGTAGATGTTCTACCTAAACCTGAAGTACTTGGTTGTTCAGGCAGTCTAACAGTATGCATCAAATTCATGATCAATATATCAATTAACACATCCACACGCCAATATCAAACAACTTACTGTGATGGTGACCAGAGCACTTGATCACCGTTCGAGATAGTAGGATATCCATCAGTCGCGACTTCGCATCCACATCCAGGAGCAAACCCAATGCGTTTATTTTGTAAATCAAATGTGACTGCAAGTCGGGTCATAAATGATATACCAAGAACTGCATAATCATTTGGACCAGCTGTTACAGCAAACACAACTATAATTCAACATGTACATTAGTCAGATTAATCAAACAACACACATTGCATACAATTGTCAAATATTTACATTTTTCAGAATTGATTTTCTGTATATAGTCTTTGGGACCCAGTGTGATCTCTATAACGGAGTTTCTATTGTCATCAGTTACGGGGGTTTGAGCATACATTACGATTGTAAGCGACGGCAGCTTGCTCCAATTGATATCAAAATTGGATCTGGACATTAGATGGTGTTCCCAAAATATTTTTTCAATTTCTTCCGGGGTGAGCTTGCGCTTGTGTTTGCTCTTGCTCTTGAACTTAGTATTTTTGACAGTGATCCCATTACTACCAACAATAGCACCAACCAACGCTGTCACAACTGTTCGAGGAAAATGCATAAATGTACAACATGTTTGTATAACCGAATACAAAGTACGTCCATTTTCCTCCTTTTTTTGGAATTCAACGGGCAGATCCACTTGTTTGCCATTGACTAGTATATTCTTGATGTTGACAGTATGACGATCGTCTGATGGTGAATTTACCCATGCAACACTCCTTCCATCTGTTCCGCATTTTGCAGTTATATCCGTGTTTCCTATATTGATGAAGCTATTTGAAATCATGTCATACGGACATAGTTGAATGCCAATCTCGTTATTGGGAATGGTATTGCCATTGTACAAAACATCCATTGCAGGGACTGATGTGTGATATTTTGACAACGAGGAATAGGCAAACCCAAATATTCCATCAAACTCTGGATCGATACCAACCGAATCTGCCGATTGTTTTTCAACTGCTATTACTGGTAATTTGATGTCAGTTATCCCAGTACCCGGAATCGTCACAGCGGCTGTGGATGTAACTCCTTTATACTGTTTGTCTCTGTACTTTATAATAAAGGGTTCCCCACTTGAAATACTTTGTATAGCCAAACCTACATCGTCACTTGAACTAGGAAGTGGTACAATTATACCAGGAGCTTCTGATTCGACTAGTAAATTCAACTATTTTAAACAAATGTGAGATTGATTAAGCGTGGTACAAATTGATATCAAACTACAATCCATGACATGACATGATACATACATTGACTCCATTAACATTGGATTTAATTGTGAAACATTGGTCAGCATCACGGCCCAGTTCAACAGGTGATCGTTTTGACAGCCTATTGCTTGATTGACTGGTAATTCCAGAAGGTGAATCCAATGCAAGTCGAACTGCAGCAACCGTCTGTAACGCAAGTATAACGCATTCTAGAGTAATCAGCATTTTATCGAGTATTGTAATGGAAAGCTTCGAGTCTGATACATGACTGCCGTTTTATAACAACGGTAACTTCAAGGGTGACAATCAGCAATCTCCAAATGAACGACCACAAAAAGCCAAATACACTATGCAGGGTGGACAAAGCTGGAAACACCCTGTAGGGTGAATCAATATACAAGCATTGCTGTTGGTGTATAATCAACCTCGGTAGTATGCTGTGTTGATATTTCCAATTGCAGTCATGTATCCAGTAACCAGGTAGTGTCACCCTGCTTATGGATAGTTATCATCACATATGCAGTTCATTATCACAGCATATATTGTCACTGTATACCAAATACTTGACTGATTGTTCAATTGGTCATGTTTTGGATCACTCGGCCACAACAGTATAAAACAGCCTGTTATTTCAGTATTTCAAAACCATGACTTTTCCATTGGTATGACTGCATGGCCATTTTAGGTTAATGTAGACTGTATACATCAAACATTGCTGATTGTGTCACAACATGATCAACATCAAACTCGGCAATCTGTCGCTGCTACACTGAATGAGTGACGTTGTACTATAATTGAATTGGAGATTGGCAGGTCGTTCAACAAACTGGCCGTGTCAACAGGTCAGATTGTCATCGTGTACATGAACCACAATGTATGATCATGCCATTCAAATCAACACACAATCTACTGATATATGCAAAACATCACCACCAATACAATCCAGATCAAACCCAATCACAAACGTGGTGTTGAATCCAATGCATGCGAGTACTTTTTAAACACATGATACACACTGATGGTGATGGTTGCTGACAGTCATATCGCAGTGTACATGTCCAATAGTGTCCACTGTCATGTCGATTGTTGCTATCCGTGACATCCAACTGTACTTGTATTCACCAAATGTGCACAACATCTAGGGCTGACTGCTAGATGCTCTCATGTTTGGCATACAACTAGTCACCATCAGACCAAGCGTATACGCTAGTACAGCGCCATGAATCTACTGGCAAGTGGTTTCAATTTTATTCTGGCGCGTTGAGGGTTGGATGTGTACTAGACACAATGCTGTGGATATAACTGAGCCACAACAGGGTGATATCATGCATAATGGTACGGCCTGTATCTGTTTGGTAGATATGCAACCATATATATGACAGCCCAATCCGTCCTTTATCACGGGTTGGTTTTAGAAACGTCTGTTATTTTGGTTGATACATGTTTGTTGCATAGATTGGTAGTATTGTATGTATTTAGTATGATTACATTGTAAACAGTCTAGTTGATTACTCATTCACTGCTAATAACCCGTTTGTACAACAGAATCGATCATTTGCTCAGTATCAAGGCGATGTTTAACCAAAGTAATGGCTGGATTATACAATGCATACCAGACTCCATCAGCCATATTTATGGGGATTGCTTTTCATCAAGTCATCTCTGCGTTATTTTTTATTGCTACACGACGTAGACCACTTCATACTGCCATCGACCTCATAGCGCTGGTCTCATTGATAGTTTGTGCTGGCCAGATTTATGTGCACACATTATTGATTGATCAGTCCATTTCACCGGAAACCACTGTTGAAAACTGGGTCGAGTGGTTGGCTGCTTCTGGATATTTGCTGACGTTTTTGACAAGTACTGGCGTGGTAAGCTTATTTGTTTGAACAGACGTGCTTGAATGGTACAGTATTTTGGTTGACTGATTGCATGAATCTGTATGATGTGTATGATTGGCAATAGCTTATTTTGATGGTTGCTCGACTTCGAGTATTCCACAAAGGAACACCTGTTTTTTGGATTATAACAGCTGGAATAGTTGCCACGTTTTGCGTGTCAGCACTCACTGGTGCATTTGGCATATTATCGTATCTTGAGCTCATCAGAGGACAAGCTGTCATTATTTCAAAAAGTGCATTACTTCATGTAAGCACACATGTATATTTGAATCGACTCGAGTATATTGAATTCAAGTGTTGGGTTTAACTTTCTGACATGATTTTTACCTGTTTCCCATTCAGTACTCTAGTCTGCTTTTTGCAATCAAATGCATATTTGAAGGTATCATATCGGCAACTTCATCACTCATATTTCTTTGGACAATCAGTAAAGGCACTGGCGTGCACAGATCCGAATTCATCAAGCAGTTGTTTTTAAAGTATGAAGGGTTCCGTTTTGTCGTTATTTTTGTCCTTAATATTACAATGGCAGGGTTTGCTGTACATTCAGCCTATACGGGTGAGCCATTTGTAGCCTATACAGCCTGGTTCTTTTCTCCCATGATGTATGGTTTAGAAATCTACACGTTTTTACTGGTGAGTTTTGTTGCACCATCAGATATACTAAGAGCAAGACACGATTCGTCTAGTGATGATGGTTTGCATGGAACTGCTGCTGAACATGCTGGTTGTTGTGCTATTGATATTACACCCAAAGCCAAGGTTGAAATGGCCATTCGTAATATGATAATGGGTCAAGATAAATAAACTACAATATTAATGCTACTGAATTGAATTCAAATATATCAAAAATACACGCAACAGCACAGTTGTATACCCGAATGCTGTTTAAAAGTATCCAAAACAAACATGCATTACATGGCCAGAATCGTGCAAACAATATGCAAATGCATCAATAGTTTGGAAAACTGCAGCATTCAAGTCTAGATGCAATCGAATATAACAAATCAGTATCACTCGAGTTTAAACACATTTAAACTTTGCATTCATTCTGAATTCATTCTGAACTCATTCTGCACCAAGACCACTACGCTCAGTTCGTATAACAACCTTGACAGGATCAACGATGCCTTTGTTTCCTGTGCCCAGCGACTGTCCTGGATTCCATCCCATAGCAAGCAGCATTTTATGACCAACGTTTTCATTTCCAATCGGTTGGCTAGATTCACCCACAACATGACCTTGTTTAACAACAGTATGTTTGTGATGTGGGTCTTTTTTCATACCGGTTTTGTGCGACCGTTTCATTTTGCTGTCTGGCGACATTCTGGGTTTTCTAGCAACATGGAGTTTGACAACTGAGCCAGTAAATCGGTCAGCAATCTCGCCAATCTCGAACAGTTTTTCACGCATGATCTCATTTGGTATTGTCCGCCACGATTCAGGCACGCACGTTGTTCGTGTTGTATAAGCCTCGATATACTTTGATCTTGCTTTGCCCATTGTCTTTGGACGCATTTGATACCGCTTGACAAGGATCACTGCAAATTTACGTACATCACTCATCATGGGTGGAAGTGACAGTTGTCCATACTGCGGTTTAGCCACAACAAAGTCATGGACCATTTTGTTGATGGAGTGCAGAAATAGTTTAATGACTGCATTGAACTGTGTTGGGTTGCGGCTATTGGAGAGCTGGGCGTCAAAAGTACGACCTTGAGTAGTCAAGTCATGATGGCGGCTTTTTACATGTTATTTGGCTTTGCGACGATCGTTTTTGCGTTGTGTTTTGAGTGCTGATTTGGATATTTTGGAGGCTTGCTCGACAGATACAGATCTGGATGGTTGTGTGAAATCACCATTCAGAATCTGCTGAAATCGGAATTCTGCATGACGATCTAGCATCAATTGACTGTTTGCATGCGTATTCATGGATTCAATAGTATCAATTTCATCACTGCTGGTTTCGGATTGACTATCGCATGACTTTCTTCACATGCGTCTAGGTGATCCATTTGACCAAGTCAAAGGACTGTTGCTGAGTGTGCCTTGCAAATACCTCGACTCTTGATCAATATCAAACACTGTTGCAGTGCGATCATTTACAGAATCAATGTATCCATCAACGGATATATCCGAGTCATTGCTGTGTATGGACTCGGAGTATTCACTGTCAGTATCGGTTTGGCTGTCATCATCACACAAGGAATCCGAGTCGCAGGCTTGACTCGACATAAACGATTGTTTTGCATGGCGTCCAACTCTGACAGTATCATTCATAGTATCAACATCATGCAACAGATTTTCAAGGATTCCCGACTCGAACTGATACAAACTTGAATTCTGTTGCACAATAGGCGAATGAGGTTTTGGTTGTAGCGACTGTTGTTGAGCAGACTGACCAGTTTGTCTTGATTGACGAACCAATGGCTGTTCATCACCCAATGACATGGATGAAATACCCGACACAGATCGTGTAATCCAGTCACCATCAGCATTGCAGAAGTGATCAAGACGATGCAGTTTGACATTGGACTGAATAGATTGGACAAACTGGAGAAATCAAGTGGTAGTGGACTGAGAGACATGCATGCTTGACCACAGGTGTTTGTGGTACAGTGGATGCTGGTGATTGACTGGGTTTGTATGTATTGTACAAATCTCTGTCAGCATTAGTATCAATATAAAATCCTGACATGAATGTTTCTAGTGGTGTAGTTTCAATTGTTGCAAATACAAAACAACATTGAATTCAACATTGTGTTGCATATGAAGCCAGTCATATTAAACCAATTGCTGCAAAACAGGTGTTGTAAAGCTGCTTGAATCCTTTAAACTGGTGAGGCGGAACCACAAAATAAAGTTTGGGTTCATCATACAAATTGCACAGTTTTGTAAGAATATCAACTCCATAAATAGGATGTTCATCAGCAACTGTAAATTGAAACATTCCCTGTCGACTGAGTGAATCAATTGCCACAATCATCGTCATCTGTCGGTTCGTAATAGTTGCCATCAAGGCAGGACCAGACCTGATTCGTAAATTGGTCAAAGCTACTCGGCATGATGGAAATCCTTCTATGAATGGTTGGATATTGGAAATGTGGTTCTTTGCCAGTCTTCGTTACGACGGAGTAAACTTGTTTGACGAAAACGATAACGAATTTCAAACTTGGCCAGCATCCAATTTCAAAACTCTGGATATCAATGCTTTTCCTGCTCTACCAGAAAATAATGGTGTTTGGTTTAAGCCAAACAAATGGAACCAGGGAGGATTTGATGCTATTTTCTTGGATAAAGGAAAAGGGTTGTTAGATTCGTTCAAGTAACTGATGGCGACACACATTCATTCAAAATCGAGTATTTCCACAGTTTTTTGCTGACGCTATGCCAATCGCCTGAATCGTTTGAGATTACATGCTTGGAAATTATCTTTGTTGTTGACCAAAAGAAACGCTCAACTTTCAAGGTAGCCGAACCATCGGTACCAGGCATGTTGACAGATGTTGGTTGGAGACTCGGTGAAGAGTTGGATAAAGTCAAAGTTGTTTTCATAAAGGGATGGTGCGATTAATTTGTAACTACCGTCGTCTATCATAAAGACATTGTATTCTAGTTAAAGCAGAGAGTATGAATCTGGCACAAAAAGATCCTGAAATTTCAAACTAATAAACAAGCCGGTACTTTATTTTAAAGATTTTGACAATTTTCCTCATCTCCGATAATTTGATATTTTTTGGCAACTTTGGACATAGTTTGGCTGTAAACACTGGTTGATAAAACTGGTATCATTTGGTGCCCAATATATACTACTAACAAGTATTTGAAATCATTTGATGCAGAATGCCCAATAGACATGTTTGCTCATACAACAACCCAAAACATACACACGCATCTGGAAAAAGTATCCTACATTAAACCATCAAAAATATGGTTTGATTAAACTACTAAACATTCACCAATCCCTGCAAACACATGGGTGTACAATGATTTATCAAAAACTAATATTAAAAACATTGATCATGCTACAATACAATACAATTGTAAAAACCCGTCCGAGTTGTTGAAACATTACAATAGTTTGGATGTAAAGCCTGCGACTGGAGCAACAAAAAAGTTGACCAGCTTGTTCAAAACAATCCATTTTGACATTCATAAAGCTGCCATTAGCATTGTTGACGTGTTTGTCATATGTATGGAGCATGAATGAACATGACGTTGAATTTAAACTGTTCAATGGAAATGAAACTCATCAGAAATATAAAGATTTGAACATCAGATTTGCAAACATTTGATTTTGTGAGTAGTCAATGGGTAGTCGATAAAAGGTCAGTATGGTTGTGTTTTTACTGGACAAGTCTTGAACAAGTCTTGGATTCTGCTTGGTTGATAAACCATCAATTCGTGACGCAAGTCTTGATCTGTGTCTTGCCAAAGTCGATCAATTTGATATTCCCTTGACCAGTTAAAATCATGTTTCCTGGTCTCAAGTCCTCATGAACTACACCAACCGATTACAAGTGTCGAATAACACAATCCGACTCACTGTCTGTTCTCCAGTCACAGTGTTTTCCAGGAATAAAGTCCAAACCAATCAAGTGAAATACTGTCCGTAATACTCACATTCTCCATAATAGCATGCAACATATTGTAGATTGAGTTTGGCGAGCTTTTCGTAAATTGATATTTGATTAGCATTTTGAATGCATCAAGATTGTTGTATGAATCACAATGTTTGACAACAATGTTGCAGTCATTGAGTCGAATGACTTGACCAGTTGCTTCAAATCCAATCACAGTACCAGAAGTAAATCCACACTCAGATTATACTTGATTGTGCTTGAATCATTACTGCCAGAGTCTGATTGTTTGTGGAAAGTGGCATCATCAGTCTCCATTTCAATATTACCAGTAGCTTTTAGAGCAATGTCAAACATTTGATGTTGTGTAACAATGAGGGTGTAAAATGTAGTACAGAAATAGACGACTAAATTACAATTATTCCAACAGATTTAGCACTCTTGTTCAAGTAAACCGGTATCATCCGATGCTCATTATACACTACTTGTAAGTTGAATCATGCCAATCACTTGCTATTTTAACAAGTATGGGATATCACGGCACATATTGATGACCAACTAATATCCGAGTGTCAACTCATTCCAGTTTTGGTTTATACTCATTTCTTGGCCCTAACCCTTGACCCTAACCCTTTTCAGGGTGAAGCTTTTAATCAACCATATGATATTTGAATGTATGATCAAATAGCGGCTCAACCAAAATTTTGGATCACCATATAAAGGGAGATCCCTTCAAAGTTTGACGTTGGTAACAAATCGACAACCCTGACAGTAACACTGACCCTTAAAACGGTCATTCAAGGGATATGCTTTTACTATCACCGTTCAATAACGAATATAAATATGGTTCAAAACCGACCTGTTGAATGACATTGCAACTTGCTCAACCAAACCAATACAATGAAACTCGCAGTTGCTGTATTGTCATCGATCCTGCTTGCATGCTCGGTTACTATTGCCAATCCAATTGATCCCAGTGCAACTACAGATGTTGAGTCTATCGCTTTTCCAGATCTTCCCAGTGCAACTACAGATGTTGAATCTAGCATTTTTCCAGATCTTCCCAGTGCAACTACAGATGTTGAGTCTAGCACCTTGCCAACTCCTAATCCAAACGGTATAGGCTTAGGTGGTCTTGATCCACTTCCAGATAGCATCAAGGATTTGTTCAAAAAATACAGGAAAAAAAAGCAAGGCTTTAATCAGCAAAAAAAAAAATGTGAGTTGTTAAAATCTGAATATAACGACCAACGTAGGCTGATAGAGCGCCTGTGGAGAAATACTCGAATTTTGCAACATAAATATCAAGGAAACGGTGGCAGTCCAAAACACGATGCAACTCAGAAGAGTAAGCTTAATCTCAAAGCCCAAAGAGACAGACTTGACGATCTTAAAGAAAGTATTCAAGACTGCGAGTCCAAGCGTAATAGTCTTGAATTTGAACTGGATCTCATCGAAATAGAGCTTGTGACGCTCGTTTTTGGAGGACCTTGGGATCCTAAATCATTTTATAAGAAACTTTTGCTTATCGGCACGTATCCTTCCGTTCAAAATTACCTTGACAGATTACGTAATGAAGAAAAATCATCAGAATGCAATGAATGTCTTGGTCAGAATCCTAGTGATCAACAACAACATCGAAAACCTAGTGGTCAACAACAACAACAAAAACCTGGTGGTCAACAACAACAACAAAAACCTAGTGATCAACAACAACAACAAAAACCTAGTGATCAACAACAACAACAAAAACCTAGTGATCAACAGCAACATCAAAAACCTAGTGGTCAGCAACAGCATCAAGAACCACAACCATCACCGGATACACCATCCGGATCTGGATCCCCTGGACAGAAAGTTCCCTCCAATAGACAAAAAGGTTCATCCAAGTTTATGGGTAAATTGAAATCATTCTTTGGATGACCCAAATAATGACGATTCATCCAATTAATTTGAATGTCAACCTGTTGATTCCAATTGATTCAATTATCATTCTAACTCAACTTGCAATAAAATTGGATTTACATGCATTATATCTGATCATTTCACAGTCTTGGTTGGCATGATATCATATTATGCATTGACACTTGTATTTCCAATACAATACAGTTGATTGTATATTGCATAGTTGTACACATTGATGATGCTGACATGCATGTGTGTATAGTGTCGATATGATATTGCTTGACATGTCGTATTGACACATGACATGCAATACCAATCAGGTTTCAATCACAAGTGTAACTCATCACCAGCCTCAATATCATTACAAACACTTGGATTTGGACTTGTACTTGTTCAATATAGTATTTACTGTGCAACAAAACATGCAGTGGTTTGATTCAATGGTGATTAGCATCCACATCCACATGTCCATATCTTTGACTTGCCAAACATTTGCCATCATTATCCATCATGCTCAGTAAAATCGTAATTGGAACCCACTTGATATTGATTTACAGTGTAAATACCAGACAATCAATATTACGTTGATAAATAGTCATCATTCTTGTTCATTAACGTATAGTGACATATTTATGTAGTATAAGTTTGAAGGAAGATCACAGAGATGTAAGACAAGAAGAAGGAATGAATCAGAATAGTCGTGATTATTTATTGATAAGAGAACTTTGTCTCTTATATATAGTAAGTAGTAGTGGTGAATTAGTGGCGGTATAAGCGTCACTCCTAAGCTTCACCGTTAAGGGTTCCCAAGCGTTACAGTCTCTGCATAGAGTGAGGCAACGGTCATCACCATATCTAAGCATTGTATAGCTTACTTGTTTATACACTGCTTGTTACTAGACCCCATCCTGACCGTCTGGGTCCTATTACAAATGTCATACATTACCAATGTCTAACAATCATGTTGCATTTCAGAATTGTAGCATTGTTTCTTGGTGATCAACCTACTGCCATTTGATGCTTTTCAACATGTTTAGTATAGTTGTTTGGATGTTACAACAGCTCTGCTCCATACATGTTCAAACAATCAGTTCATGTTTTTACTGTAATACACGTTGTATATATGTTCACTGCATCATCTCATCACACATCCTGTCATAATTATGATACAAACTAGCTTAAAATACACATCCATGAGTCTGTAGTCGATTATTAACAGTACAATGGTCCCAGCTGAATGATCCATATCAAACATGTATAAAAGCAATTGTTGTATACAACACACTCGGTAAACCAGTTTATGTTGATTTTTTGTTGGTATATTATCCAAATCTATTGCATGTCATAAGCAGTTGCATTTGTTGACAAAAGGGTTCAAAACAACAGTCAATGACAATCCATTGCATTGATTGTTGTACAATGTGCACCTACAAACAATATGCATATATCATGATTCCAAACTTTATTGTTTCAATTGTATGCAGATTGGTAGCAGTTTGATATTTAATCAAGCTATTGTTGATTATTGAATAGCAAGTTTTGAACTTTAGCCTCGACCTCGTTCATTCTTGCTTTGAGTCGATTGACTTCACCACATATATGGATTTTTTTCGCAAGGGATTGAAGATACACATCCTTGGCCTTTTTTAAATTTTCTTTCATACAGTTGGAGGTGGCCTTCAATCGCATTTTTTTTGATGAGCCTTTATCACGAGTGCATTTATCTAGAGTCAGAGTATGTGTAAGTGTTTGTATACGTGCGATGCTGTCGAGGTCTTCACAATCCTGTTTTAAAACTTCACATTCAGCAACTTTCGAATTGTATTGTTCCAAAATTGTATTATAGCGTGAAAACAGACTAGCGACACGAGTATCACTATGGGGTCGAAATAATAGTGCTGGAGCTGAAGGTGGATGTGAACCTGATGTTGAGCCTGATGTCGATGGTGATGGTGATGGTTCGAATGTTGGAGCTGGACTTTCAGAAGTTGATACGACTATAGCCGACGACATGGCTGCCAGCAGCGAAATTACAAAAATCACAGCTTGTTTCATTGTAAACTATCCAGATGAACAATACAGACGAGCAGCAATTTATTCCGATAGTGTCGAAATACTGGATAGTTTTGGCAGTTTGTTTTGATATTTATACAACATGGATTGATTAAAGGGTCAAAACTAAAGGCTATTGTTACAACTGTACTCGTGTAAGATGGAACACCAGATAAGGGAGTTCAACTACACAAGCAATCAGTCTCATAGTATGACTGATGCCAGTTTCCACCAAATTTAAAGGGCAACATTGTGTCTTTCAAAACCCTTGCGGCTAGCAACATAGGGATAGTAGGAACAATACGAACAATAGGGACCAAGTGAGAATAAAGTCAAAAAAATGCGTAATTGTCACCATCAATGTGGATCAAGTATTTGATGTGTACATTTCATTCAACCACACAAGAGTATGTTTTTATTGATGTTTATTCAAAGTATCGGTAGATTGTTTAGTGCTGATTTGGATGACAGAATCATTTATTGTTCGTGTCTTGTACACTGCAACCAGTTTGTTGAACTGCAATCCATCTCGATTGAATACATGACATCACTCGGCTGATCTAACGATACTGTTTGGTGATTTTGATTTTGGCATGATTTTTGGCATACCATTTGTAGAATCTGTACATTAACATAAACCAAACAGGCAGTTTACAGTTCCAAACCATGATCAAAGTGGAGGTTTCTATGCAACGTTTGATTGTAATACATTGTTAATAGCTGCAGGATACGACTTTGGTGTACTATTACAATCGTAAGTCTGTTATGGTCATGATTTACTTTTGAACAAGTTTTATTTAAACGAATGACATGAAATGAAATGAACTCATGTGAACATGCCATATCCATACGAGCATATGCTGGTGGTGTTACAAGTGTATTGGTCAACTGTTGTATGGCAGTCTCAGTGATGGTGTCAGGGTTGTGTTTGTTACCAATGGTACGCTACCAACAGAAACTCGATTGATCAAACAGCCATGTATACACATTGTTGTCAGTTACATCGAGTGATGGTCCAAATAGGTCGATTCAGATGGGTTGCATATAATCGACCAATCCAGCATTCATCCATTGTCAAACAACTATAATGCACAATACCACCAAGTGTGTAATCACACCCGCACTGATCAGTCATTGCACAGTATGCATCAGTCAATGTCAAACATATGTGTGTCTGCAACTAAATTGCAGTCCATGACACATCCACACGATCCAACATGACAAATCATGTACCATGAGTCCAAGATTGATCAAAAACCTGATCATGGTAAACACAGCATGTTGTTGCATATCAGAGTCGATATATCGAGTGACAGTTGCACACTTGCTGATGGTGCACAGCGTATCAGTCACAATACATGCACGGTATTGCATTGCAGTCATTGGATGATAACTGGTTGCAATGTGATACCGATCGACATACATCAGCATGGTGTGATGTGACCATAACCATAGTGGAATGTGTTGGAGTTGACATTGTGAGTTGACAATCGATACACCATGCACATGACTGGAACATATGCATTCGAGTGTGGTTTGGTTGGTGTCAGGTTGATCATGCAATCACATCGGTGCAACGAGTGAGCGAACTGATGGTGATCTGAACTTGTTTCAACAACAAGTATTGACAGTCATGGATTTGCTGCATTCAATGTATGCTGCACACCGTTGTTGACTGTTGACTGTGTATTCAGGTCAAGTCATCACCAACCACCAACCAGATCCAGTGCATACATGATCATTAATAGACTGACTGCCAAGAATATTCGTGTCTGAAAGTTGATTGTGAGTTGATGGTTTGCAAGAATCGGACACAACCAACATGCTATTGCATACAGCAACCTGATTATAGTCCAGTCGCATGGTGTGATACAGTGGTTCGTGCAATACAACATCCAGATATTTGTAGTGTTGAACACGACGAATCTGTTGTTCGTGTAGCATCATATCAATTGGTAATTTGGAATCAAAGTGCTGTAACCATGGAAACTGAGTATGTTGCATTTGACTACACCAAAGCTTATTTGACATTATTCCATTCATCGTGCAAGTACACCAGATGCAATTGGAGTGACTGATCAGAATCGGCAAATATCACGATATTGTCGGCATACATGAACCCTCACATTGATGGTGATTTACACGATACTCATGCAATGACAATCGGTTGATATCATCGTGTGTGTTGTTGATGAACATATTGAACAACAACCTGACAGTGGACATCACCACCGGACTCCATGCTCAATTGGAAATGGATCAGAAACCAATGATCCAGTTTGAGCACAAGCTGATGAGTATGTGTGCAGCGCTGTTAGCAAGACCAGTGTGTGTGGTGTCAATCACATGTGTTGCAGTTATCATATCAAGGCACCAACCATGACAGTGTTGAATGCATTTTGAATGTCAATCAACACAACAATAGTATTGAACTGCACGCACTGCTGTCGTTGAACAATATCGACTAGTGAACCAACTTACACAACACACTTGTTTGGTTTGAAATCGATCATGATCGGTGGTGACGAGTTTGTTGAGATCCACGATCCATCAATGTGTGTTTGCAAGACCTTGCATACCAGTTTATGACACACATCAATCAGTGTAATACCGTGGTTGTCATTTGTATCAATGTGATCACCGTTATTCTTGTCAATATATGCAATCAGTACAATCGGTACAGTGTATGCAGACTGCCATCAGGTCGCATAATGACCGTCAACATATTGACTGAACTGTGTGTAGCAGGACACGATCAAATGGATTGGGTGGTTCATCAGGTGTATCATCCGATGTATATAATGCGACTCGACAGAATGTGATCAATATCCTGTTGTTTTTCGGGTGTCTGGTGTGGACCAGCTGCTGTATTGCATCAGCTAGTCGATTTCAAGGTATATCCGAGTCGAGATCAGTTGCATCGTCACGAATTGGAAACAGTTTGTATGGTGGAAGTGAATCACGTATATGCCAGTACTGCCATTACTGCAAGTCAAGTAAATGTCCACTATCGTCCATAGCAAGATGCAAGTAGTAATTACTCGGTATGCCAAAAATATTATCACTGCTGTACTGAATGATACGATTGGCATCACATCGTATAGTGGAATGGTGTGATGGCTGTTGTGTGTGTTGCACCACCAGACATGACTCGAGCTGCTGCAAATGTCATATCAAAACGATCATCAATACTGTCTGGTCAAGTGTATCAGCAAACTTGATCCAGATCATATGTTCATTGGCGCATTCAAGTCGCTGGATTGTTGCATTGTGTTTGTCCCAGAATGCACCTAGTTGGCTGCGACAGAGTTCATTGTGATTGTCACGGATACTTGCTGTAATGTACATCGATATTCCAGTGTTACCATGTCAAATCGTCCGTTTGGTTGAGCGATACAGTCGACGTTTATGTAGCCGAGCAGTATGTGCATGTGTGTGCAGTTGACAGTCATTCACTGTTGCATTGGCAGCATCCAATAACTGAATGCATAGCTCGTGTGTGTCCGTGTATGATCCATCAAACGCTGCATATATTCCACCAATCGTGAACATTGCAATCCGATCATAGGCATATATGCAGAGTTGTGATATGTCAGTTGGATGAGTGGAATGGACTGAATGAGTTGGTGCATGTGTATTAGTGCGGATGCAAGTGTAAATGACACATCGTCAACAACCGCAATATTCATGTCTACACGAGCAGATTCTACAAGTGTTTGTTTAGTCTCGTCACACACAAAGTGATTGATAGAGTGTCAATGACATGCAGTCCTGCTCACTCGAGTGATGTTACTGTCTGCATAGTGCCAACATACTGCATGACAGTCAAACGCAGTATTCATGCGTGTATGATGCGTTGTAATGACACATATTCAGTGTTCCAGTTTGCAAACAGTAGCACTGATGAGTGATCGTCAAACGGAATAACTGCTGACAGAACATGTTGAATGGCAGACAAGACATTTCACGTTTGATAGTCGCATGCAGCCGAGTGTCCAATGTACACAGCCAACAGTCCAAACACAGTCAGGTGTAAAGTTTGGAATGTTTGCGACAATTATGGTGCCATAAACAGTCATTTTGTAAATCCAAACCATTTGTCAATACCGAATGGTGTCTCGATGTTCGGGAACAGTTGCCGAGTGTTGCAATACATTGAAACCACACACTGTGTGCTTGAAACTGTCCGTTGCAATGCAAGTCTCGGATAATCCACATAGTCGGTTTGGCTGAATATATGTCAAAGTAGTGAGTGTTTGCTGGCAATGTTTGACACATTGGCTGACAATATTTGACAACAATTAGGAAGTGGAACACACAGTGAGGATGTCGTTGGATGCCTGCGTTGACAGTTTTTGTGTATGTGTCAGTTGTTGTACGGATGATTGGTGACAGAGTTGATGGATAGTGTGTGCGGAACATGACTCTGGCACAGTAATACGGACTCGTGCACCGAGTTGAGTTGTCCAGCAATCGATTTTGGAAATGTGTTTGATGTGATGGTTTGAGATGGATGCCAAATGACCACGAATGTTACCAATTGTCATGACAGTTGATTGTTGATTCAAAACGTTGTTTATTTGGTATTAATGGTTAGAGTGTCACTCATTGACCTGTCATATCAGCAAGTGTTATTTTGGTGAGTTTCGTGTTTATTGTAGTCACATCAACATCAGCAGGTTGGACTACGGATTTGCTTGACAGAGTTGCAGATCCAGTTGGATTGATAGGCGAGCAACTGTGCAAACAACTGTGCGAGTTTCAGGATGTTTGAGATCCAACAAAACACTGCTTGCACACAAGTTCGCGAATGCAGATTGTCAGACTTGACCATCAACTCGCAGTATAAATTGCGTGTACGACAGTTTACACGCTTACCCATCAACAATAAACCCACATAATCAGCAAACTGTCAACGAGCAGACAGTTCAGTGGTCGGGTTGATGTTTTTTGTTGGAGTTTCTGGATCAAACTTGACCTGATTTGTACCGAGTTGGGTCATGACTACAAGTTTGACAGCAATAGATTGATCCACTAATAATCTGATCGTGCTGTTGATTGTATGGATGTTGGTAATCCGTTGCAGATTGATACGGAATGTGACCAGAATACCACAAAGTTTATTGAGTGTGCACATCGCATTCGATGCAAAACGCAATAAACAAATGCGAGTTGCAGTATTCATTCAAGGTTCGACACCAGTCGATACAGCATTGACCGCAATGGCATTTATGTCAACAATTGCACGACTACGGAATAAGTCGATTGTTGCTTGGCATTCTGTATCGACAGTCTGCGTGTGTGTGCAACGTGCTGTTGTCGCATATGAACAACTTGAATTTACTTTGTGGACAAAACACAGTCACTGTTGCGGTGATGTTTACAGTCGTGGAAATAGTTTCGAATACCACAACTGGTATAACAACTGCATGTGTTGGTGAGCAACCAGAGTCCAGTTTGACCAAGATCTGTCCCAGTAATGATCGAATGACATTGTCGTGTTTGGTCATCATGACAACAATGTCATTGGTTTGACTCTGCAACTGACCAAATGCGCTAGTGACAGCGTTTTCAATTGAGTTCATATTACTTGTGAGGATCGTGAACATATGATGGCATATTGATGGTTGTCATTATTGTCAAGTGTGTTGCAGTTGATTGAAGATGTGATGGAATGAATCAATATTCGATTGTGTTGTTTATTAACAAGGAAGTGAGTGTGTTCATAAAATAGGAGACAAGAAAGTCATGTGAATTCCAGTTCAAACGTCATTGTTGATGGTTTTTGATTGTTAAACTATTCAGAAATGTCTCACATTCACACACTACTAATGTCTCACACAATGCAAGTCAACACTCTCACACTAGTAATGTCTCACATTAATGAGACATTAATTCTGGTGTAAATTTGACTAATTTCCAAATATTTAAATCGTGTGAATTGTCTTGAAATATCCCAAAATTTTGTTATTTTGACTCGATTAAAAAGTCGATTTTTGTTTTACAATTTGACAAATAAATTGCTTTTTTACTCTTTTTCTTTTCATAAAATGCCAAAACGATTCCTCAATGTTGAATACGACACTATTTCTACTGAAATCGATGTGACTGACTTTGAAGACCTGAGTGACGTTCAGGATGCTATCAAGTCTGAGTATGGTCCTGCTATGGCTGACATTGATGCTCCTCAACTCCAACTATACACTGACACCAACAAGGATCAGCTAATCAACACCTGGGCTTTACTCGACTCTCTTCCTCAATAATACTTTACTCAAGGAGGCTCCTGTGCTGTTATTGGTTGTTTACCACCACCTTCAAGACAGCCTACTCAAACTGACCTTTCTGCCGCAGGTTCTACTTTAACAGCAGGATACAAGAAAAGAAGAACAAGTGAATGGGAGAAAGTATCAACACTTGCTCAACTTTCATACGACCCAAATTCAACCATTTTCAAACTTGACGAAAATTACTTGGCCAAGACTGGTCTATCTACTCAAAAACTCATTCTTTATTGTCGTCCAACTTTTCATGAGCAATTCAGTTTTTTACGGGAAAAAGTCATTGATAATGGGGTTCTTGGTTGGATTCTAGGACCACCAGGAACTGGCAAGTCGACTACTGCTCTGGAATTTGCCTCAACTCTGGACAAAAATGACTGGGTTGTTACTTGGATTCATTTGTACATAGATCGTTATCCAGTATGTGTTCGTTTGGAGGGCGATTCAAAGAAATCCCAGGAAATCTACGACAGCAATATCGACAAACTTTTTGATATTTTGCATAAAGTAGATGAATCAAAACAACACATTGTGTTTATTGATGGATACACTTCAAATGGACAAAAACACATTGATGTACAGCAAGCTTGCTATTCATGGCTCGAAAAAGACCGAAAAAAAAGAAGATTGGTTGTCGTTTGTTTGATGTCTTCACGTTACAAAGCAAAGTTGGAGGAAGATATGCTGTTGAATCTCAAACAATTCAACGTCTATTCTTGAAAGGAAGAATAGTATATTCATGCTGTTCAAAATGACGAATTCTTTAACCATGTCAAGGCTGTTTTGGATTCTGATTTACAGATTGATTCGTCTCGTGAAGACTTGGTCCGTTCTAAACTATACTTTGCGGGTGCTTCTGCCAGATGTATGTTTCTTTTTGCGACCAAAGATGTGATCCAACAAACATATGGATTAGTCACTTTTGTCAATGATATTTTTCCATACGTCAAAGGCACAATAGGCGACCAGTCTAATAATGTCGTGGATCGTCTCTTCAGTTCAAGTTTAGTAGAGAATAATGTGTTCCCTCGAAAAACATCTATTGTCAGTCAATTTGCCGGGGTTATGTTGGCCATCAAGAAAGGACCAGACCTGATTCGTAAATTGGCCAACGCTACTCGGCATGATGGAAATCCTTCTATGGATGGTTGGATATTGGAAATGTGGTTTTTTGCCAGTCTTTATTACGACGGAGTAAACTTGTTTGACGAAAACGATAACGAATTTCAAACTTGGCCAGCATCCAATGTCAAAACTCTGGATATCAATGCTTTTCCTGCTCTACCAGAAAATAATGGTGTTTGGTTTAAGCCAAACAAATGGAACCAGGGAGGATTTGATGCTATTTTCTTGGATAAAGGAAAAGGGTTGTTAGATTCGTTCAAGTAACTGATGGCGACACACATTCATTCAAAATCGAGTATTTCCACAGTTTTTTGCTGACGCTATGCCAATCGCCTGAATCGTTTGAGATTACATGCTTGGAAATTATCTTTGTTGTTGACCAAAAGAAACGCTCAACTTTCAAGGTAGCCGAACCATCGGTACCAGGCATGTTGACAGATGTTGGTTGGAGACTCGGTGAAGAGTTGGATAAAGTCAAAGTTGTTTTCATAAAGGGATGGTGCGATTAATTTGTAACTACCGTCGTCTATCATAAAGACATTGTATTCTAGTTAAAGCAGAGAGTATGAATCTGGCACAAAAAGATCCTGAAATTTCAAACTAATAAACAAGCCGGTACTTTATTTTAAAGATTTTGACAATTTTCCTCATCTCCGATAATTTGATATTTTTTGGCAACTTTGGACATAGTTTGGCTGTAAACACTGGTTGATAAAACTGGTATCATTTGGTGCCCAATATATACTACTAACAAGTATTTGAAATCATTTGATGCAGAATGCCCAATAGACATGTTTGCTCATACAACAACCCAAAACATACACACGCATCTGGAAAAAGTATCCTACATTAAACCATCAAAAATATGGTTTGATTAAACTACTAAACATTCACCAATCCCTGCAAACACATGGGTGTACAATGATTTATCAAAAACTAATATTAAAAACATTGATCATGCTACAATACAATACAATTGTAAAAACCCGTCCGAGTTGTTGAAACATTACAATAGTTTGGATGTAAAGCCTGCGACTGGAGCAACAAAAAAGTTGACCAGCTTGTTCAAAACAATCCATTTTGACATTCATAAAGCTGCCATTAGCATTGTTGACGTGTTTGTCATATGTATGGAGCATGAATGAACATGACGTTGAATTTAAACTGTTCAATGGAAATGAAACTCATCAGAAATATAAAGATTTGAACATCAGATTTGCAAACATTTGATTTTGTGAGTAGTCAATGGGTAGTCGATAAAAGGTCAGTATGGTTGTGTTTTTACTGGACAAGTCTTGAACAAGTCTTGGATTCTGCTTGGTTGATAAACCATCAATTCGTGACGCAAGTCTTGATCTGTGTCTTGCCAAAGTCGATCAATTTGATATTCCCTTGACCAGTTAAAATCATGTTTCCTGGTCTCAAGTCCTCATGAACTACACCAACCGATTACAAGTGTCGAATAACACAATCCGACTCACTGTCTGTTCTCCAGTCACAGTGTTTTCCAGGAATAAAGTCCAAACCAATCAAGTGAAATACTGTCCGTAATACTCACATTCTCCATAATAGCATGCAACATATTGTAGATTGAGTTTGGCGAGCTTTTCGTAAATTGATATTTGATTAGCATTTTGAATGCATCAAGATTGTTGTATGAATCACAATGTTTGACAACAATGTTGCAGTCATTGAGTCGAATGACTTGACCAGTTGCTCCAAATCCAATCACAGTACCAGAAGTGAATCCACATTCAGATTATACTTGATTGTGCTTGAATCATTACTGTCAGAGTCTGATTGTTTGTGGAAAGTAGCATCATCAGTCTCCATTTCAATATTACCAGTAGCTTTTAGAGCAATGCCAAACATTTGATGTTGTGTAGCAATGAGGGTGTAAAATGTAGTACAGAAATAGACGACTAAATTATATTTATTCCAACGGATTTAACACTCTTGTTCAAGTAAAACGGTATCATCCGATGCTCACTACACACTGCTTGTACGTTGAATCATGCCAATCACTTGCTATTTTAACAAGTATGGGATATCACGGCACATATTGATGACCAACTAATATCCGAGTGTCAACTCATTGCAGTTTTGGTTTATGCTCATTTCTTAACCCTGACCCTTGACCATAACCCTTTTCAGGGTGAAGCTTTTAATCAACCATATGATATTTGGGTGTATGGACAAATAGCGGCTCAACCAAAATTTTGGATCACCATATAAAGGGAGATCCCTTCAAAGTTTGACGTTGGTAACAAATCGACAACCCTGACAGTAACACTGACCCTTAAAACGGTCATTCAAGGGATATGCTTTTACTATCACCGTTCAATAACGAATATAAATATGGTTCAAAACCGACCTGTTGAATGACATTGCAACTTGCTCAACCAAACCAATACAATGAAACTCGCAGTTGCTGTATTGTCATCGATACTGCTTGCATGCTCGATTACTATTGCCAATCCAATTGATCCCAGTGCAACTACAGATGTTGAGTCTATCGCTTTTCCAGATCTTCCCAGTGCAACTACAGATGTTGAATCTAGCATTTTTCCAGATCTTCCCAGTGCAACTACAGATGTTGAATCTAGCATTTTTCCAGATCTTCCCAGTGCAACTACAGATGTTGAGTCTAGCATTTTTCCAGATCTTCCCAGTGCAACTACAGATGTTGAATCTAGCATTTTTCCAGATCTTCCCAGTGCAACTACAGATGTTGAATCTAGCATTTTTCCAGATCTTCCCAGTGCAACTACAGATGTTGAGTCTAGCATTTTTCCAGATCTTCCCAGTGCAACTACAGATGTTGAATCTAGCATTTTTCCAGATCTTCCCAGTGCAACTACAGATGTTGAATCTAGCATTTTTCCAGATCTTCCCAGTGCAACTACAGATGTTGAAACTAGCACTTCAACCGTCATTCCCAGTGCAACTACAAGTACTGAAGCTAGCACCTTGCCAACTCCTAATCCAAACGGTATAGGCTTAGGTGGTCTTGATCCACTTCCAGATAGCATCAAGGAATTGCTCGAAAAATACGAGAAAAAAAAGCAAAGTCGCGATGAACAAAAAAAAAAATGCGAGTTGTTAAGATTTCAATATGACGATCAAAAGAAACATGCAACGGACTTGAAGATAAGGCTTTACCTTTTGGAACATATATCTCAAGGAAACGGCGATGGTCCAAAATATGATGATGAAATTCAGGTGAATGAGTCTAATTTCGAAGCCCAAGAATCCAAACTTAACGATCTTAAAAAAAGGCTTAAAGGCTGTGATTCCAAATATAATGGTATTGTTTTTGGACTGAAACTCATCGAAGTAAAGCTTGTGACGCTCGTTTTTGGAGGACCTTGGGATCCTAAATCATTTGATCAGCAACTTTTGCTTATCGGCACGTATCCTTCCATTCAAGGTTACTTTGGCGGATCAGGTAATAAAGGACAATCATCAGGACGCAGTAAGCGTCCTAGCCAAAAACCTAGTGACCAACAAAGTCAAGAGTCGCAACCATCACCGGATACACCATCCGGATCTGGATCCCCTGGACAGAAAGTTCCCTCCAATAGACAAAAAGGTTCATCCAAGTTTATGAATGGATTGAAATCATTCTTTGGACGACCCAAATAATGACGATTCATCCAATTAATTTGAATGTCAACCTGTTGATTCCAATTGATTCAATTGTCATTCTGGTTTAATTTGCAATAAATTTGGATTTGCATGCATTACATCTGATCATTTTACAGTGTCTTGGTTGACATGATACCATAGTGTACATTGACACTTGTATTTCCAATACAATACAGTTGATTATATATTGCATAGTTGTACACATTGATGATGCTGATATGTATGTGTGTATTGTGTCGATATGATATTGCTTGTCATGTCGTATTGACACATGCAACACTAATACCAACAATAGTCATGTGTACAATATCAATATGTTGCACAACAGTCATTCAAACAGGTCGACACATGCCATATTGTAGCAATGCAATCAAATTGGTACAACACATGTCAACATAAATGTACTGTAGTGTACACTAGTAGTAATGATTCAACTAACGGCATGCATGGTTGTAATATTATACGTGAAACCACATGCTCATGTCCATGTCCATGATTATGGGGACATACAGCATTACAATGATGGGTCAGCAACAATGTGATGGAACTGGATGCGTAATATCAAAACCATGCTCAGAATACGTGATGTAACAACGACTTGCAACCGTATTGATGTAAATGGACCACAAAATAACAGTGTCATGCATATGCAAACAACAGTTGCATTACTGACATGTGCCATCATTGTTGTTGAACTATATTGTGATCGTATCCGTGATTCAAAATACAACAGAAACGACAAACGCCGGTTCAAGACTATTTCAGTTCAAAATCATGGTTTGTGAGCATCATATCACTGGCACTGTTTATAATAATTCATAATGTATATTGAGTCAACAGTCAATGTCAAGTACAAAACTACAACCAATATTCAGCATTGTTTATTCCAAACCAACAGTCAATCACTGCAAGATAGTGTTCAACTCTACATGAATGCGATTGTATACCATTTTGGTTTCAGCTGTAAATTTGAGCCATTTCGATTTGTCCAAACTTTGCTTGTAATCTGTGCGATTTGTTGTGGATTCAGTGCAAGGGTGAACAGATCTGATATTTCTACTCGAGATACTGGAGTGTCTTGATTGAATGCACTTTAACAAAACAGTCAATACTATGCTGTTTTGTTGGATCACATCAATTGACATACTCTTGGATACTCGTGGCTAGTTTACTGTGTTGTATTTGAAGCAACATTGATTGCGGTCTAGTTGGATGTCACGGATAGCAACAATCGACATGACAGTGGACACTAGTGGACATGTACACTGCAATGTGACTGTCAGCAACCATCACCATCAGTGTGTATCATGTGTTTAAAAAGTACTCGCATGCATTGGATTCAACACCACGTTTGTGATTTGTATTGTATTGTATTGGTGGTGTTGTTTTGCATATATCAGTAGATTATGTGCTGATTTGAATGACATGATCATCCATTGTGGTTCATGTACACGATGACAATCTGACCTGTTGACACGGCCAGTTTGTTGAACGACCTGCCAATCTCCAATTTGATTATAGTACAATGTCACTCATTCAGTGTAGCAGCGACAGATTGCCGAGTTTGATGTTGATCATGTTGTGACACAATCAGCAGTGTTTGATGTGTACAGTCTAGATTAACCTAAAATGACCATGCAGTCATACCAATGGAAAAGTCATGGTTTTGAAATACTGAAATAACAGGTTGTTTGATGCTGTTGTGTCCGAGTGATCCAAAACATGACCAATTGGACAATCAGTCAAATATTTGGTATACAGTGACAGTATACGCTGTAGTAATGGATTGTATGTGATGACAACTATCCATAATCAGAATGACACTACCTGATTATTAGATACATGACCGCAATTGGGAATATCAACACAGCATACTACTGAGGTTGATTATACACCAACAGCAATGCTTGTATATTGATCGACTATATGGTGTATTTGGCGTTTTCTGAATATCCATTTGAAAGTGCTGATTGTCACCCTTGAAACTGCCGTCGTTATAAAATAACAGTCATGTATCAGATTCAAAACACTCTCATCACACTGATCGATGCAATGCATTGCAACATTGACAAGCTATGCGATCGTGTGTTTGATTATTTTGTGATCCAAGAATGTCAATATTCAATGACTTACAATTCTGATTGTGGTGGAATGATTGACTCTACATGTTGAACCCTTTCCATTGTCCTGGTGTTTGGAATGACGATTGGTCATCATGTGTTGTTGTTTAATCCAGAATATTGGCTGGTTATTACTTTGAACATGTCAGAATTGACAGATGTTACACTGGTAGCATCTACTTTTTCCTGTAAAAATACAAATCACTTGTTGCGGAACATGTTTGGATCTTGGCAACTGTGTCTGTTGTTGAATGGAGTGAATGCATTCATGCATCTGTCTTGTTATCGTCAGTATTTCCAAGTTTAGCATCAATTCAGTTTTGTGCAAACCCATCAATATACACAAATGGAGTTGTGTATGCAATGCAATGCAAGAATATTTATAATGACGACTGGATTCCTATGTTTTGAAACAAGTTCTATTTGCAATTACGAATCATGATGATAAAATTGATCATTGAGCTCATATTCAAGGCTCCGTGTTTGGTGTTGGTTGCATATGACTAATCAAAGTTATTTTTGATTTTGAAAATCCAATCTGTATATCAATTTCATCTTGAAACTTTATTGAAGGTTATTTCCAACTGAATCCAAAAAACTCCAAACACCGTTGCCAATCTCATCAAAAAACTGAGGAGAGTTTTGACTATTGATGATTTCCATACCTTGAACATCAACGGGGTTCTTTTCAGCAGTATGAATAACCAGAGTCTGTTGCAATGAGTAACCTGATTTGTGTAGTTCCGACAAAGTGCTAAGAAGGTAAGTTCGTTCTTTTTCAAACCCTTCCGACACTCCACCGCCATTACGTTTGCAATAAAAGCGTTCAGGATCTGTAGTATTGTAAGCGTTTGCAGCTTGTTGTTTTGACATTCTCTCGACAAATTTGACTTGGACAATGTATACAGTCTTTGTATTGGCACACTTGTAGATGATATCTGGTCCACACATATGATCGGGAAAGCATACTTGATCTGAATCACCAAATAGTAAATAGCCGGATGCAGAATCTCGGGATGCCTTGATACTATTGGCAGCATCAGGACCAGAATAGTTGGCTACTAAAGCAAACGCAACCAAGTATTCCGCCAAATAGCCAACCGTTTGAGGGTTAGGGTTAGGATACGAGCCAATTTTTTGGTATAAACTTTTGACAGTGTGTGCAAAGGGGAAAAAGTAGCAAAGACACTCGATTACAGCCAACTCTTGAATTTCAATGGAAGATATAGTTCCATCGACAGTCTGACCAAATCCCAAACCATAAAGTATTGCAGTAGCACCGTCATTGTCTGTCACTTTAAGGTACATTTTTCCCTTCCAGATGGCATCAATAAATGCGTCGCAAATGGGTCCTGACAGGTTATCACCAGCAATGACTTTGTCAAATGAACGAATGCCTTCATCAAGGTCATTTTTCAAGAATCTAAGCGGGAAAATCTGGCCATCAACATTAGATATCCCAGTGATAAATTTGCTAATTGCAGTGTCAATATCATTTGATTTCATATATGTGCCCAGAATATACGATATAGAACATGGTCTTCCATGACATAATTCAAAGTCTGAAATTCTTGATACAATAGCATCCAGTTGATCGACTTGATGGTCTTGTAAAAATTGTCTAGCATACTGTTCGACCTCGAGTTTTGTCAGAGAATGGAAATCTGATACAACTACACAATCTGTGATTTGATCATCCTTCATAGCACTGAACTCCACTAGCTCTTTGATGAGTTCAAAGTCAATACTGGTGCCAGACAGTAGGCAATGAGGAAATACTCCCATCATTTTGGAATGGTAACAAATGGAGTGAAAAAGGGACGAAAGTTTCTACTTTCTGGTTGAAAATGAAAACGACGACCTCGTGCAAGATTTCGGACTCCATCAATGGCAATAAAAGGAAACGGGTTTGTAATAGCAGTTGGGGCAAGTCCAGGCTCTTTTACAAGGGTCGTAAAAAGACGCTCAAACAAGTCAACTCCAAAGAATGCGATAGGATGGAGCTGAGCCAGAAGAATTTGCCAAGGTTCCTTGAATCCCTTGCTTATCAAGTAGTTGCAAACAGAAACCCGAACGAAATACAACAGTTGGATAGCATGTTCAGTGAGTTCAGGCTGATAGTTACTCTCGCAATACATCCGGCATTGATACATGTCTTTAGAGCCAAAGTCATCTTGAGAGCTCTTGCAAGCAAAGTAGTACCCAAAGTTTGAATAAAGCAACTCTAGAAACATCCTTGTTTTTCCTGCACCAGAAACAGCAAAAAACAGTTTGATATTATCGACATTGTCAATTTGATAATTGGTTACTCTCCTATCAAGACGGTGTTCCAAGCAATTGTCGTTAAATACGGCGTTATTTGGAAACCTCGAGACATTGACAATCTTTTCCAGATGATGTATCAAATACTTGAAAGCGTCATTTGGTTTTCGCAATTTCAAATTATTGGTTTCGATGAATTCTTGGTCACTTTTACTTCGTACAAAGTGTCTTTGATAGGGACGGTCAACATTCACATCATTCTTGGATTTAATAGTCAGTGGACTGTCGTAACAACCAAAAGGATGTTGAATAGAGGTTAGAAACCCATATCGAGCAATGGCTGGACCATACACCTCAAAATGAAGAGTGAGTTCGTCAACAGGAATAGCATCAAGGAGGGGAGTGGTGGCAGTCTTGTAAGCTGAAATCAAATGAGAAACAGTAATCAGAGGTAGAGTTCCTTGTGGTCCTCTTCC